TCCGAGTCAGGCAATTTCCCAGACCCCTGTTGAGATGGCCAGCCCCTAGTTTAGGCAGTTAATTACATTGCAAAACTGTAGGCTCCTTACTTTTAACTGGATTTTTTCCTCCATAGAAAGAATGCAGTGATCAGGAATTGAATCCTAGGAACCCTAGAAGAGGGTTATCTTGCCAGATATGGCAAGTGCCTCATGGATCTGAAGCCTTGACGCCACAGACGTTTTCTGATGCTGCTGAGATTATTTCTGTGGGGGAAATGTAGGCAGTTTCCCCCACACCTGGCAGGAAGGAGTGCCTTTTTTTCATGGGGATCTAGGGATAAGTCCTGGATGCTTTCCAAAATGGGCACAGTTACTCCCTTTGAGAGTATCCCCATCCCACCCCATCTCACCGCCTATCTTCTAGCTTATGTTTTCTATCTAGGGCAGGAAGTTCCAGAAATAGCAAATCCAAACAAAGTCTGCCTCTTTCTTTTGTCTTCTTTATGTCTCCTTAGTTTAAGTCCCCTCATTCCCCTTTACCCCGACCCTGGAAATATTGAACCTATCTCGGAGGTCAGGGCCATACCTGATCTAGAGGCTGGAACTGTGGTTCTGTCACCCTGCCCTGGCTCCCTGGTGTCTGTCCACAGGAGTGTGGACTTGGACTCATGCCAGGACCCTTGGATCATCTTGGTGCCTGTCACTCGTCTGTCTCTCCTCATACACCCCACCCTCTGAGATCTGCGGTTTCCATGTGCAGTGGACGCTGAGGCGGGGTCTGGGGGACAGCTGGGCAGACTGCCCCGAGCTTCCCTCCCCACAGTGCACTCACACATGCTGTCCTGAGTGTGTCTCCTCTGCTGACCGCTCTGACCTTGCACTTAATCACTTGCGGTTAGGTTTCCCAATCTATCAAATAGGCTCGCTTAGTATTGGGATGCCTTTTAAGCTCTGCTTTCTGCAGCTCTCACTGGGAAAAATGGGAATTGAGAGAAAACCTTCTGCTGTGCCTGTTTGGATGATGTCCTTGGACCACCAGCTTTCCTGTGCTTTGTGGTGAGCGGGCTTTTCTTGCCTCTTTCCTCAAGGGGCAGACAGGGTTTTGCTCCGAGGCTGGTAAGCGTCAGTATGCCTCGGAGAAACAAGGGAGGCTGAGGTTCTCACTGTCCCTAACTCCTCATAGGAGGGATGTCAGGCAACAAGTGCCAACCTCTGGGGCCTGGCTCTCTACAGCCTGTGTTTAAGGAAGGTAAGGCACCATCAGGAGACCCCGAGTTTGGGGCCAAGACTGGAATGAGTGCTGCTGCCATGGCATCTGCCTCCTGGTCAGCTGTGAGCCCCGTCCATAGTGGAGGTGTGGTGTTGAGCCCACTCGCTTTATAACAGGGCTCCCTGTGCTGGGTGGACTATAGCAGTGTCATCACATAAACGTCTCCACCTCACTGTGAGTTACCTTTCTTTCCCCTCTGGGTTTTTACCGATCCATTTGTCCATAACAAACGAGCATTGTAGGTCTGAAGCGAAGCTGTCCACAGACACTGCCTCATTATCTAGTTAATCTCCATTTGCTGTCACATATTTGGCCAACATTGGCATTTGCCTGCCTGTTAATCAAGAGCCTCTTTTTATTGTCACTTGTGGGAAGAGCTGAATGACTCATTATGCCCCAGTCAGCCTTCTGGGGTTATCCCCACAATAGGCCTGACCAGCCCGATTAAAGTGTGCAGTCGCTGCAGGCGGCCTGTGTCATCAGTTCCAGACCCGGTCTCCCGTCAGAGTGTAAAGTGACCAGAGCGGGATGACCCGAAGCAGCTCGTGCCGGAGCGGAGCAGTGAATTCGGGGTCCCTGTGGCCTCTCGTGCCATGCTGCTGCCTTGGTTCTGTGACTGGTGTCCAATGTTCTATGGCAAGCCTATGTTACTGCCTCCTTTCTTAATTTGTCACAGGTGCCTGTTTTGTGTTCGGCTTTGGATTAGTGCCTAGCACTTAGAAGGCACATAGTCAGTCTTTATGGAATGAATAAATGTGTGTATGATATGAGTCAGGGACCTTAAGAATAGGGCAAAAGGCTGCTAATGTGCAGAAATTCACCTGGGAAGCTTATTTCAAATGAATTGTCTCCACCTCATCCCTACAGATTCTGATTTAGTTCTAACAGGAGGCCAAGGAGCATGCATTCAGGTGATTCCTTTTCAGGTAATCAGCATCCAGAAAACAATGTCCCAGGAGCTTTAGAGAGATGGGAGGGTTAGGAGGTTTGATATGGGACATGCAAGACACAACATTAGTGCATTCCATCCTTTTTAGCAGAGAAGGCAAATAGGTTTCATCTAACAAGCCAGCTCAGATCTGTTCATAGTGGCTGCAGTGTTGAGTTCTGAAAGTCATGCTCAGCTTGCTGGGAGGACCATGATTACTGATCAGGGATGTCCTCCATGGTGCAGATGGGAGGGGTGGCATATATACCACACATCTACCATCTCAGTGGCCTGGACACAGGGTTTAGGGACCACTTCTGCAGCTGGCATGATCCCATAGCACGAGGCATGCGAGCCAAGATACAGGTAAGTGGTTATAATCCTTGGCTACCTTTCTCCACCTTAATATTTTAGAAGGAGCTGTAGAAAGCAGCTGACATTATATGAAAGGCTCAGTGAGCAGTTGTGAGTGCACAGACTCTGGCAGTAGATTGAATTCTGCCTTACCACTTGGCAGTTATGTGTTGGGCAACTTACTTAACTCTGTGCCTTAATTTCTTCATCTGTAAAGTGGAAATAGTACCTACCTTGTAAGGTGGTTATAGGGATTAAATGAGGTAAACTATATAGAGCACTTAGAAGGGCACCTGTCGCAGGGAGGACAACACGTATCAGCTGTTACTTTTATCATGAGCTTATTGTGATTTGTGGGTACAGAAGAATTTCCAACTCTTTGGAGAAGGGAACGTTTGGAGTCTGAGGTGCTCTTCTGGTGGCTGAGCTGGGAAATTCACACAAGAGAAAGGTGCATCCGAACACTACATAACCCTTCTTCCTTTGTAACAGGAAAAGTGTCAGAAAACATATGTGTTGGCTTATGCCTTCTGACAACTTATCCCGTGGAGGTACAGTAGGTGGTCCACGGTGTCAATTATTAACTCTGCTTGAAGCTTTGAAAAGGAAGAGCTCAGCATGGGGAGAGGATGCTACTTGGGACCTAGTTTCTGAAGGAGATGTTTGGTAGTACTATTGAACCGTATGGTAAAAATAACATTCAGGCATTTTGAATGGCTGAGGCGGCTTTTGTGTCAATTCTGACCAACATCTTCGCTGTTCAGTAAAGTCTCCCAAGGCAGTTCCAGCCCTGGACGAGTTCTCCTCAGGCCCACATTGCCCACATACAACTCTTACTTCCCAGTTATCTGACTGGTTTCCACCTAAGTGACATTAACAAAATTTTTTTTATTAACCGTGTCTTATTTTTCTGTATTCTTTTTAAAAATATTTATTTTTCAAGTATAGGTGATATACATTATATTAATTTCCTATGTACAACATAGCGATTAGACATTTATATAACTTATAAAGTGATCACCCTGATATTTCCAGTACCCATCTGACACCATACACAGTTACTCCAATATTATTGACTAAATTCTCTACGCTGTATTTTATATCCTGTGACTTTTTTTATAACTGGCATTTTAATCCCTTCCCCTTTTCACCTAGCCTCTCACCCTATCTGCTGACCATCGGTTTTGTTCTCTGTATCTGTGAGTTAGTTTCTGTTTTATTTGTTCATTTCCTTTTTGATTTCATACATAAGCAAATTGTATGGTATTTGTCTTTCTCTGATTTATTTCATGTAGCATAATACTACCCTGTAGGTCCATCCATGTTGTCACAAATGGCAAGATTTCATTCTTTTTTACAGTGGAGTAATGTTCCATTGTATATATGCACTGCATCTTCTTTAGCCAGTTGCCTATTGATGGACACTTAGGTTGCTTCCATATATAGTAATGCTGCAGTGAATACTTGCTGTTTGTTGATTTATTGATGATAAGCACAGGTGTGAGGTGATATATAATTGTGGCTTTAATTTGTATTTCTCTGATGATTACTGACATCGAGCATCTTTTCATATGTCTATTGGCCACCGTATGTCCTCTTTGGAGAAATGTCTATTTGGTCCTCTGCCTATTTTTAATCGGATTGTTTTTGGGTATTGAGTTGTATGAGTTCCTTATATATTTGGATATTAGCCCTTTTCAGATGTATCACTGGTGAATATCTTCTCACATTCAGTAAGTTGTCTTTTTATTTTGTTGGTTTCTTTCACTGTGCAAAAATTTCTTAGTTTGATGTAGTCCCACTTGTTTATTTTTTTCTTTTGTTTCCCTTGCCCTAGGAGATATAGCCAAAAAAATATTGCTTTGAGCAGTGTCAAACAGTTTACTGCCTATGTTTTTTTTTAGGAGTTTCATGGTTTTTGGTCTTACTTTAATCCAGTTTTATTCTTGTATATGGTGTAAGAAAGTGGTCTAGTTTCTTTTTTTTATGTGTCTGTCCAGTTTTTCCAACACCATTTATTGAAAAGACTGTCTTTATCCCACTGTATATTCTTGCCTCCTTTGTCATAGATATGTGATATTTATTGAGCTCCTGTCACATGCCTAGCATTGTTCTGGGTGTTGTGGAGGATACAAAAGAGGTGGCCTATACCACAGATACTCTCAGCTTGGGTCAAGTAAATATGCCAAACAGTTAACAAATTAAAACAAAGAAATCTGTCCTCATTCAGTGCACTGCCTGTGAGGAGGCCACAGGTACACATACAGCAAGAACCTTAGGGTACCCTCTTTGGTATTTCCCAATTGGGTGGGTAAGACGTGTACTCAGCTGTAACAAGCAGTCCCATGAAGAGGGCCTCATGGGTCCTGTAGCAGTTCAGAGAGAGCACTGCAAACTGGGAGGTCAGGAAGGGTAGTGGAGGCCTGGGCGGGAAGGGTGGTAGAACACAGAGAGGCACAAACTCACCATGTCAGGCAATGACAAGCAGACCATTTTGGTGAAGTGTGGAGTCTGCATAAAGGCTGAGGTTTGGATGGTGGTGGCCTTTGAATGCAGTTTTGGGAGCTGTTGAAGGGTTCTGAGTAGGAGAGTGACATGACCAGCCCTGAGCAGAAGTTAGGTTGCGTGAGGATGCAGCTGGGCTACCTCACAGAGAGGAGGAGCTGATGGGAGCAGGGACAGCAGTCACAGGCCTGGCCTGGCAGAGAGCTCCTCCCCAGAGGCACAGACAGGCCGGAGAGAGACTGGGTCTGTCTTAGTGAAGAAACTGATTACAGACATTACCTGCCTTGATGGATGTCGCTGTTCTTACCCACCAGTCAGCCTTTTCTTGTGTTTTACAGATTCAGCCAGTTATTGAAAAAACCTTTCCTTTTTCTGAAGTTCCAGAAGCCTTTCTGAAGGTGGAAAGAGGACATGCGCGAGGAAAGACTGTAATTAATGTCGTTTAAATAAATAGTGTTTGGTGATTACTGGCTCTCTTATTTGGTGAGTGCTAGTGGGCCCGAACTTTTTTTTAGCCATCCCTTTCCAGATTAGACTCTAAATTCCATGTTATATATATATAAAAAGAACACTTTTTGCTAGTAATTTCCTATCTTCTAAACTGAGCAGAGATTGATTCTACAGCCACACCACCACCCTCCACACATCCCTCTGCCCGGCCCAGAGTGCTTTCTGATGTAACCCATTCCTGTTTGCTGAGAGGTCTGTCCTCTGCCCAGCACAATGAATGCACATGTAAGACACACTGTGAAAATAGCCATACTTGGACTTGTCTATAAAGTCAGTGAAAATTGCATGTTGTTTTTTCCAAGCTGTTCTTTCATACCAGATTTGCAGATTGTTGTGGCACCTTCTGTCCTAGTGGCTAAAACTGATTTTACTGTTTTATGCTCCCTCTTAGGTTCAGCAGTGAGCACGCTTTCCTTTGATTTTTGTTCCTCTGCTGAGTTCTGAACCTCTTGGGGTCATATATAAACATCTGGCTGTGATTTGGTTGTTTACTCTTAGAAATTGAAAGTGATGCTAAAGTGCCTTTTAAAAACCCTTACATTTTGCATAAAAGCTAGACCTCCTTCAACCAGAGAAACATGCTTCTCTGGGGACCTTTCCATGGAAATTTCCACCATTCCACTGGGGCCCACAGCTCTCCAGTTTCTGACTTTACTAGCAAATGCCCAGTGCGGCTTTTGAATCTCTAGTGTGCCCTTCATTCATTGCAGGTGAGTGTCGATTTCCTGTTGTACTGATCATTACTGCACCCTAGACGCTCGCGTTTAGCTTTTGATATAGACCTGTTTGAGTAACTTTCTGCTTAGTTTATTCCTATTAGATACTCATTTACTAGTGTGTTGGATGAGGGCTTTTCTCTGGAATTGCTGATCTCATCACTACAGACTTATCTCAAAAGAAAAAACTGTGTTTTTTTTTCTGTTTTAAATATGCCACTTTGACTTCCACCTGAACAGTCAGCTCTTAAACTCTGAGGTATCCCAGGGGGTGGTGCAGGGTAAACTCAAGGCAGGACCTCACTCCCCCTCATGTCCACTCAAAAAAGTGTAGTGCACCCTTTCACCAGTGTCTGGAAAGAGGGGAGTCAGCTGACCTTTCCCTGCCATATTCTAGCCCCCCTGAAACTTGCTTTGTCCTAATCAGGCATTTGTTTCTAATCTGCCAGCTGACTCTCTTTGAAGTGTTAATGAGGGCTACTAACTGATTTCATAACAGTTAACCAGAAACAAGTTTATTCAAGAGATAAATTCAACAGAGGCTACTGTAGGATGTCTTACCCCACCACACTGTAATGAATGCACAAAGGCTGAAAACCAGAGCCACACACCTCAGAACAAGACAGACATGCTGGCTGCTGTTGGACATGTACAAACATTACTTTAAAACCGAAGTTACTACTGTGATGACCATAATTGCTTACCACAGACTCCAGAGAGAATCAACACTTCAGAATGGGAAACCTGAAAAGGAAACCAGGTTTGTTCTTCCTGTGACAAGAGCACCAGCATTCAGTGCTGAGGACGACAGAAAGAGGAAGAGGGTGTTCAAGGACTGTTTTAGCAGTTTTGTTCAAAATGAGTATCCACAGTATGAACAGCACCATCTGGCAGTGTATCGTCAGCAGTTAAACATTTTGAACTTTCATTGAAGTGCTTGCTGAATTTTAGGGTTTTCAGAGTTCTAAGATTTGACCAACAAGCATCACTGAAGGCCTCCTGTCCTTTCCTTTTGGAGAATTGCTAGTCATCCTCCTGAGCCTTCCACACCCAAAGTGACCACGGGCGGCAGTACCCTGAGACCTGAGCTGTCCTCAGAGCATGGCTGTGCAACATCACCGGTAAGGTAGCCCCGCGCAGGCCTGCCAGTGCAGCTGGATGGGAGGGCAGGGAATTGGGCTAAAATACCTGAGTTTAGCAAAGGATTGCATAACATTGCTTCAGAACTAGTTATAGATGAGTGGGGATGGGCTAATACATTAGGTCATGGTATACTGTTCTAGCAGCATCTGTAAGAAAAGCTTCAAACAACACTCGTGTGAAAATCTAGGGCAGCCCATGGTGAATTAAAATAATCCAAATCCTGCTAATAAATGTAAGCAGAGATGGACATGAAATCTTTTAAATTTTCTAGTTTTTAATATTAATTCAAGTGTTTTGTCTATACTCATTCAATTCCTTAACATATGTCTGAATATATAATTTCCCAATTGGCTATACAGCATAATTAATGATTTCAGAAAACAGAAGGTCAAAGACCAAAACTATAGGCCTAATACATTATTTCTTCTAAGGTCTAAACAGTTTCTACCTTACAGACTTAAGCTTTACCCTTCCCTTTAAAGTGTAAGGCGATGTAGGTCCACCAAGTCGGTGAATTTGTTCCTGTTCTCTCCTGTCACTGTCTTTGGAAATCATGTAAAATGTACAGTCTTAACGTCTTGAGATAAGATTTTCCTAAAAAACACCCCAACGCTGCTAATGAGGCAACCTGTTTAAGCAGCTGCTGAAAGGAACTGACAGGCAAGAAGTGAAGGAAGAACAAATTATTGGTTTAAAACTATTGGTCTTTTGAAGAGATGAGACAGTTGTCCCGTTCCTGGCACTGTGATTCATGAGTGAAGTTAGAGTTGCTGAGGAGCACATCCGCTTTCCTCTTGGCTCCTGTCCGCAGGCCTCTTCGTTTTAAATAAGGCAGCTGGAAGACCTCCAGTAGTAGTCCTCCTGCGTTGTCCAGGGTTATAGGACCATGGCTTCCCACACTTGTGTTAACTTCTCTTTGCTGGCGGTGTTGAGGATAATGTGGTTTTGATCATACTGTGCACCCCCTGAAAAAAAGGAAAACATGGAAGGAAATGTGCCCACCGTGAAGCCAACACGTTTTACCTCAGCACCAGAGTAACGAGAGTAGAAGTAACCAGGTGCAGAGCCAGGTGCCGCATGAAACAAAGCAGGAGCAGAACCCTGACAAGTACCCAGTCTGACAGGCTCAGTCACTGGGGGTAAATGTGTTAAAATCCCGTAAGGGCACCAGCAGCTCCACACAGGATCTCCTACTTCCTGGGCTCCTTTTCCTATGCAAGTCTCAAAACCTACTCCACAGCCATTAAGATGTCTGATACTGGGGGCACAGGGAAGAATACAGAGAAGGGAAAAGGAGCAGAGACTGAAATATATTCAGTGGTGGGGTCAAGGATTCGAGGTATCAGTGAGGGAAAAGCAGGCAGACCTGATATAGTGGGATGGTTGTCTTTTTGGAACAGGTTTTGCATGAACAATGAAAAATGGCTGTACTAGGTAAAGGGGGAGGTCTGAATGACACCAGAGGTATGGGCGGCACTCCCACTACTGAGCTCACAGGCTTTGGTGTATAAAATTCACGGCATTTCAGATGCTGAGTTCCATTGTACGAGTATGGTCTCCATAAACTCCTTTCACCAGAACGTTTGTAAGAATATTTCCCAACAGGACCTACTAGGTATTTCAGAGTGTTAAAGTGTCTTCTCGTCTGACTTTCCCCCCAGTGTGGAATAAACATCCTTTCAGATACCCTACAGTTTTCTAGCATAAGTCTCTGCACCAAGGCTATGTCACTGAGGACTCCATCAGAATAAAAATCTTCATCTGACTGCAGGGTTAGCGTGACTGGCAATGAAATCATACTGCAGCCTCAAGCTAAGAATTAAATGTCCTTACTCTCTTTCAAAGCACTTACAAAATATCCAAAAGGTTTGATAACTTACACTATAGAGCTGGGTAGCTGGGGAAGGAAATCATCTCTTATCTAGTGTTCCTCTCATAGAGTTTGGTTTATCATCACTGACTATAAAGCAAGCATGTCAAACTCAAAGGCTAACATGGGCCAAATATATGAGTCATGCGGCCCATAGGCTGCAAGTTTGACAAACATGGTCTAGAGCAGTGGTCGGCAAACTGCGGCTCGGCAAACCGCGGCTCACGAGCCACATGCAGCTCTTTGGCCCCTTGAGTGTGGCTCTTCCACAAAATACCGACTTCTGTGCATGGGCCACGAAGTTTCAATCGCACTGTATGTGGGCACCCCCACGTGGTATTTTGTGGAAGAGCCACATTCAAGGGGCCAAAGAGCCACATGTGGCTCTCAAGCCGCAGTTGACTGACCACGGGTCTAGAGCCTCCACACGGCTAGGTGTAGCACAGACTACAAGGGCAGTGCCTTGGGCCTTCTACGTGTACTTTTGCCATAAATCCCACTGTGCCCATCAAGACTGGAACAATACGTGATTGTCTACCCAAACAACTCGCTCCCCAGACACCAGGAGACAGGTCTAATAAATTTTATGGCAACATCACTAGGTAACAAATGGTCCCACAGTTATAGCTAATGAAAATTATAGTTTCCTATAAAGTGCACCAAAGAGATGTATTTGTATTTCCTTAGCCGTCTGTGGGCTGTGGCCCTACTTGCTCATGTCCACAAGGTGGCACCATTCTCCCACATTCTGAGACAAAATCTGTTTAACAAGCCCTCAAGTGACTAATGCAGCAACCACACTAGATAGACTGAGCAATCACACGCCTACAGACAATGTCCTACTCAAGAGGCATTTGGCTCATTTCAGTGCGTTTTAGGAAGGGACTCTGGAACTCAAAGTCCTCAGAAGGAACCTCCTAGAGTCCCATAGTTCTTGTCAGAGTAAAACTAAAAGCCAGGTGTCCTAACTCCCGGGTCAGCTGTTAATGTAGCAAGTGGGGAAAAGTCCTGTGTGCCTAGCACTTCTAGAAGGTAAGCTCTCTGAAGCCATGACAGTATCCTTTTTCCCACTTTGAGCCTTCCGCCTGGTGAGTAGCCAGTAAATACAGGTTGAAAGAACCAAAGAAGAAATGCTCCAAGAAGTTAGCTCATAAGGATGACAGTGTCCTTAGACCCAGACAGAAGCTGATCACATCTGTAAGAAACATGAATCCATGTGTTCAAAACACCCACGTCTCCAACTCAGTCGCTTTTCCTTGGCTTCTTTGGAGGTTTTGAAACTATCTTATAGACAGAGAAGTTCCAGTTGAACAGGTTGATGAAAATAAGAATCAAGGAGGGTCTGGTTCTGTGATTCTTAACCAGTCTGAACCTCCAGTTGACCATTTGTAGAATGTCCACAAATGACAAATTTTGTATCCAATGTAATGTGAAGGAGGTGTATTTATATCACCATTCATTCTCTGAATGTTACATCTACTTTCTTATATCTTGCACTTGATGTTATTTTTGGCTCCCATCCAGCCTGTTATCTATTGCTTAGCTTGTGCGCCCTAAGTGTACTCTGCCTTTGCCCCTGAGCACCCTTCCAGCTTCTCAGGTTCCTTGTGAATTCTAATCCTGTTATTAAGTAGGCTGGCCACCATCCATCTGGAGGTCACACACAGGTGACGCCCACCTCTGCTCCTCACACAGTCCCCAAAGTCCCTGATAATTTTTCTGGATGATGGAGAAGCAGCATTTTTATTTTAAAACTAAGTTGCAGCTGCTTCTTTATCCCTATATCAATTTTTAATGACAGCTTGGCCGAGAGCCCTGATTAAAGTAAAATTGAGCCAACTTCCTATCAGTTTTTTAAAATGAAGTATGTGATATAGTAAGGCTACATTATAACCATTTCACTAAATTTATAAACATAATCATGTTGGCTTATTGAAGTCTCCATTAATAAGTCCTCTATGTGATTCTGATACAGATACAGTTTGGGAAACACTGTCCTAAATTTACTTGTTCTTCTCAAGCACCATCAATTTGCTTTGGCTTTTCATTGAACAAATGTTCAGTTGAAATCCCCTTGGCTATGTTAATTCCTTTTAGATCTTAGATCTTTTCAATGAAAGATTACATGTCTAGGCATGAGAATCATCAACTATACTGAGACCACAGCCTTTTAACTTGTGATTTTCCAGTCTTACTGTTAAAATAAAAGGCTTGAAGACAGCCCATGTCCAGACTCTACCTCAACACTTATTGCCAAATGGATTAACCCCTCTAAGCCTCAGTTTTGGGGGCCGTAAAGTGGGATGGGAAGGAGAGGATAACATAGTTTGCTGTGGGGATCACATGACAATGCAAAGTGTTTAGCACAGTGGCTGACATAGTGAAAGATCTCTTACTATTTATACTAGTGCTCACCATTGCAAAAGTAAAGAAGAGATTTTTAGTTAACTAAAAAAAGGCACAACTAAGAACATAAAGGGAACAAGCCTTACCTTTGATATCTAAAACTAAATTTGGCTTCAGCTTGCTGTAGATTCTACCGTCGGATTTCATGCTCCAGAACTGACTCTCGGTGCTCTGGTCCAGGGCCAGGCCCAGCTTGGAGCCAGAAGTGACCAGGCTCCCCACAATCGTCAGGCAGCAGTCTTCTGCTATCTGCTTGGTACAGAGATATGTGTCTTAGGAACACACGTTCAAGTGTCACTGTGATCAGTTCCCTGTTTAAGCTGATTTTTAAAGCCACCCTAGATCCTGACTTCGCTCACCCTTATGCCCTTTAGTTCAGGTGGCACGAGTCACAGAGGGTTCTCTGTTCTTCTCCACTTTAAGGGACTTCTGCCCTTTGGGAGACTGTCTTACTAGTGAGAGAAGCCCGAGAACATCAAAGCTGCCCCTCATGATGGTTTTCCCTCCCAGAAATGACTGTCCTCCAAGGCTGGTCATGCCACCAAACCTACCCCCACAGAACCACCTCTGTGCAGCCAGACCCTTCTAGAATGTGGCTGCACCTCTAATTTTGGAGGCTATTGTAGCACTAAAGTGGCTAAAAGGGTATTTTGTCATTTTAAACCTTGAAATCCCATTTATTTCTCTTGACTTTTCTTCATGAGAAATGTCAAATTTTCTAAAAAGGCATGCTATCCAACCATAAAAAGAGAAGAAAATACCAATACAGCAAAGGGTATTTTCATGTAGGAATTTTATGGGTCCTTCTCTGAAGTGTATCTACTCTCAATATATAAACAGTGTATGGTAGTCACATGTTCACATGACATTAACACAGATCGCTGAAGAAAATGCTCATAGAGCCCTGACCGGTTTGGCTCAGTGGATGGAGCGTCGGCCTGCGGACTCAAGGGTCCCAGGTTCGATTCCGGTCAAGGCCATGTACTTTTGTTGCGGGCACATCCCCAGTGGGGGGTGTGCAGGAGGCAGCTGATCGATGTTTCTCATCAATGTTTCTAACTCTATCCCTCTCCCTTCCTCTCTTTGTAAAAATCAATAAAATATATTTAAAAAGAAAAGAAAATGCTCATGGAGAGAACTGGAAAGTACTGTTCTACTTGAGATAAAAGGACTGTGATGATCTAGGCTACTTTACTTCTCATTGACCTACTCAATTCAAAGTCGTTAAATAACATCACTAAAATACCTGTTAGAAATAATTGATAAAAGGCTCCAATTTCTTGAATTGTTTAAGATAATTCAAAGGCAGAAATTGGCTTTTTGTGCTTCTCTGTTACAGCTCTTGCTATTCCTTCTGTGCAAGTCTAAACAGCCCTTATGCTTACTGGACGGATGCCTCTCCCTCAGGCCCCACAGACCTAATGAACACACCTTTCCCAGGCTGTGTGCCTTCTGCTGACTCATGGGGCACCACAGTTAGAAAAACATCGGAAGCAAACAGCCAAGCCCATAAAATCAGGAAGTTAAAAAGAATATCTGCAACAGAAGCATGAGCTCCTCTTATAGACTCTTACTCATTGCAGCCCGTAATCGTGTGTTATGGAGGAGCGATAGGAGGGAGGTGGGGCATTTTCCATTCTCAAGGTGTGCCGATGGGGAAATGGTACGCAAGCTGGTACTTCTTCATCCTTAATTCTAGTCTGAGATCCTCCAAAAAGGAAGCAAACCAAGACTAACTTGTTGAGAATGCTGGGGCTTACAGTTTATTTCTATACCTAGTAGAAATTCCTATATAATTTTCTGCCCTATATAATAAAACCCTAATAGCAAATCGACTAAACAGCAGAACAACCAGACGCTATGAAGCACACTGACCACCAGGGGGCAGACACTCTACAGGAGCTGCCCCCTGGTGGTCAGTGCGTTCCCACAGGGGGAGCGCTGCTCAGCCAGAAGCCTGGCTCATGGCTGGCAAGTGCAGTGGCAGTGGTGGGAGCCTCTCCGGCCTCTGGGCAGCACTAAGGACCCCTCGGGGGATGTTTGCCTGCCGGCTTAGAAAATAAGGTAGTCTCCCCCCTCCCACCAGGCAGACATCCCCTGAGGGGTCCCAGACTGTGAGAGGGCGCAGGCTGGGCTGAGGGACTCCCCCCAGTGCATGAATGTCATGCACCGGGCCTCTAGTTATTATATAAAAATCAAGTATAGATATCAGTGCTCTATCTTGGATCAAAGTTAGATTTACTCCCATTTTACATTCGTAGACTGGTTCTATAAGAGCTAAGAAATATTTTCATGGAAAACCTAATTTATTTCTGAAGGTGGTCCAGGAATCCTGAAATAGCATTAATTTGAAAGATGCCGTCACCGACCTTTGTCTTATCCTAAAGCTCACCCTGCATTTGATGCATCCTTCTTGATAAATCCAGATCTGATCGTCAGCGCCGACGTCCTCCATGACCTGTATTCTGAGAAGCTTCAGGTCCTCTAAGTTCCCGTTGGTTGACATGAATAACCCTGTTGCCTTGTTTCGAAGTCTGAAATAAATACGTTTCTAGAAGACAAAACCCCAGCAATGATCACAAGTAAGTTGTACTATTAGAAGTTCTAAACAAGCATCAACAGCAGGGGCCGAATTCAAGGTGAGGTTGTATTAGGGACAATTTCTATACCCAAGAGCCCCAGAGGCTTTAGGATTTTTTCGCTGAGAAGATTTTGGTGAAATGTCAAAGAAGTGCCTGGGGCAGGGAGCCTGCCTGTGGGAACCCAGCGCTTGGAGTTTGGGACACACCACGTTTTGATGTCAGGCATGAGAGCATTTCTGAAAGCAGTCAGAAACAGCCCAAATTCAGAAGTTCATGGTGGTGAAGGGAGTGGCAAATTTCAAACTGAAAATGTTAAATTACATTTACCAGAAAAATTCAGAGAAGAGTCTATTCAAACATGGAGAAAAAGGAAATACCTGATTAAAAGGCCGTAGAGACCCTATTTGGCGACAGCCACTGAATTCATACCAATTAGGTACTTCTGCTGGCGACAGTAGGAATTGCCGACCCCTATAATTGCCATATTCATAAGTAACCCATCTGGAAAAAAAGTAGATAACCACAAGTAAGCAGCAATATCTATTTGACAATGAGCCCTAATTATATTTTAGGATGTTTCAATTTTTAGACTGAGCTTTATACTTAAAATATACATTGGCAGGAGAGGGGGGGACTACCTTATTTTCTAAAACACTTTAAGCACCCTTTTCTCAACAAATAGCAAATTCTTGGTACATATTTATGCTAAAAAGAACCATTCTTGAAGAGAAATGAGTAAGGTTTTTTCTCCACCTTTGCAATGAAATAGAGATTATAGTCTTAGTGGGACAGCCCAGTATTCCTATGAGCTTTTTATAAAACATTTCCAGTTGTAATAATGGATCTTTTATTTAAATACCTAATATTTGTAAAGTTGTTCTTGTGTGGCATATGATAAATACTAAAGGGCTATTTAAGTAAAAGTAAATAACTCAAATTTTTGTTTAAAATGAGAGGAATCTTCCTCAGTCCAGAAAACTGCTAACGATACTCTGGTCTCCTAGGGATGCTGGTGCCCACACCTGAAGACATGTGGACTCCTGCACGCAATGGCATGTGAGCGACCCAGCAGCCTTCCTCTGGCCCAGGTGTTACCAAGGAAGAATGTCCTCTACTTTCCATCCTAGAACTCTAAAGCACCCAAATAATTGTTTTTTAAACAGCTATAGTCCCCTCCAATACTTGATGCATACAAGGGGACTATACCTATTTTTGAGAGTGAAACAAAAATACTTTCTTAAAAACATTTATTACATTGATAGTTCTTACTTATTTTTACATCTTACTTAATTTCACAATTTTTCAAAGTTGTGAAAAATCTTCCCATATTGACCTTTAAGCGTGCACAGCATCTGTTAGTCACTCCTAGTTAAAGGAAAACCCCAGCCCTAACTCCAAAATCAAAGGACTTGGTCTTTTGAAGGGAAAAGAAAAATGAGCTCTCTCATACTTGCTAAAAAATACTCAGTAAACTTACTGAGCACTGTTTTGCAAAGCATTCCCCTAGAAATTTTGAGGTGTTGAAGACCAAGTCCTTACCTTAAGTAAACTAAAAGCCTGGAGGAACTAATGAGAGAGGCCTCACACATGGCTCTTCCCAGTGCGAAAAGGTGCATAATCATTGACCCTTACAGAAAATAGGGGGGTTTCTGTCACTTTGCTTAAGGTAATGTAGGAGAAAAAGAAATATGATCAAACTTAATCTTTAAAATCATCTCTTACTGAATGAACAAGTAGGTAACTCACATGCCACCGATCACCTGAACTGAGCGTATCTGCGTGTTGAATCCCAGGGATCGGAGATTGACTGCTTCTGCATTAAGCTCAATCTTTTTTCCTTTGAAGTCTTCTCTTTCAAAAAGAATAATTGTTGGCTCAGAAAATTCCTGTTTAGGAACAAAAATAATGTTACTCATCTTTAATGGTAACTTGAACTTATTTGAAAATCATCTTGTTTCAAGGACAGAGCACGAGATCTTGGCCTGTCATAAGCTCCCTTTCCCAGGAAGTTGGGGTGTTTATACACTCCAGAGCCAGAGAGGAAGGAAGGGGGGACAGGAAGTTTTCCTACTGCATAGAAAGGCAGGTGAATGTAAACAGTGCTATGAAGGGTGGGGGTATCCCAGGCACAAAGGAATGGGTATATGAGTCTGAAATATCAACACAGCTAATGAATTTATTTTCAATCCTGCTACTTTCTATTAGGATAAGGAGGGGCTAGGACTGGAAAGCTATGGACGTAAATGGCGAGGGTCGGAGGCCTCTTGCAGTCTTTAGGGTCTAGTGGAATTGCTAGTCAGGAACCTCCTTGTATGCATTTTCAACTGTCTTTTTATGTTGTTTTAATTGTCAACAGACAGTGATTCTGTGCACGCATGTTCCCAAACTTTCCTGTAGGAATATTGTTAGGAGAGAAAACTACCGGATGGAAGCTCTATGTTCAAACTCATTTTCAAATTATAGACCCGTATGACCCTAGACCAGGGGTGGGCAAACTTTTTGACTCGAGGGCCACAATGGGTTCTTAAACTGGACCGGAGGGCCGGAACAAAAGCATGGATGGAGTGTTTGTGTGAACTAATATAAATTCAAAGTAAACATCATTACATAAAAGGGTACGGTTTTTTTTTTGTTTTTTTTTTTTAGTTTTATTCATTTCAAACGAGCCGGATCCGGCCCGCAGGCCATAGTTTGCCCACGGCTGCCCTAGACTAAGCTCTACTGATGATAATCCTAAAATCATAAATGATCATCAGAAATTCCCTACCTGCTTCAAGTTTTGTGGCAAGGGTGTGGGACTTGCTTCATTTATGTGAATGTGCCCTGACACATAGATTCTGTTGACCAGTAAACAGCACATTAATGTTCAGAGGTAGTTTGTGTGTCATCTGTGAGCTAATGCATGGTACCACATCATCCCATGTTCCATTGCTACTATTTTCACATCTTGAGAAAGGTCAACACTTTAGTTATTTGAACAAGCAGGAAAGGATGAGATAAAGCCAACTCCTGCCTAAAATCAACTACATGTTTAAAGCTTCTTAGGAGAGATCAGCTACCAAAAACTAAAATATTTCCAAAACTACACACTCAGACTAACATCTGAACATTATCTTGGAGTTTTACATTGAATATTGCTTTGACTACATTAAAATGAAAGATTTCTGTTCAAAGGGGCACTATAATCTGGATTAGGACACACATAATAAATCCAGAGGAGTCATTTGATTGCAAATCTCTAAAAGACAGAGTAATAAATTTTAGAACTGTAAGGAATTTTTGCAAATCAATAACAACAAGATATACAGAAAACCATAAAAAAGCTGGGCAAAGGACATAATAGGCAATTCACTGAACAAAAAACCCAACTGATTAATAAGTATATGAGATACCAACTTCTCTAATAGTAAAATGCAAATTAACAATGAGAGAATACATTCTACCCAGTTCCTTCCAGAGTTAGAAAGTCAGAATACTCAGTAATGGCAACAATGTGGAAAACAAACCCACACGCACTGCCAGCAGAGTCTGAAGCGGTAGAGCTGGACTTAGTGAAGCTGCATATTCATGTACACAATCCCAGCAAATGCACTCTTTACCATACACGCCCAAGAGATTCCCACAGGCCGATGGGGAGGCACAGATGAGAATTAAATAAGTAAAACGGTGATGGGATACTTGCATCAGTTATGTATGAGATGTACATAGAGCATAATGAACAGCTCTTTAAAATTTTAATATAAGTATTATGTTTATAATGCAGTAAGAACTATAGTGTAATACTGTATATAAATCAAAAGCCTATATATAGCCCTGGTTGGTGTGGCTCTGTTGGTTGAGCATGGTCCCATGCACCTAGAGGTAGCCGGTTCAATTACTGGTCAGGGCACATGCCCACAGGGGGTATGCAGGAGGCAGCCGATCAATATTTCTCTCATCGATGTTTCTCTTTTCCGCTCTCTTCCTCTCCCTTCCTCTCTCTAAAATCAATAGAAACATTAAGAAGCCTAGATATAGACTTTCTGAAAACATATGTTTTATAAGAATATCCAAGTTATATCCCTCACACATTCCATGGGTGTCTATAAAAGGAAGAGGAATCAGGTATAAAATGGGAAAAAAACAGGAGAGCGGCCTTGAACTAGTAACTCATGATGGTTGTGTGCCACGACTGAGTCAGTACTTCACCTGAAGTCTAAAAACAGCAAAAACAATTTATACGTTAAACATCTAAAAGGAGATTTAAAAGTTACAGGATAGAAAGTTCTACTGCAACTGTTTTTTCTGCCTCCAACTTCAAGCTTGGAGTAGGTCTACCTGCTGGTTTCTGCTCTGGCCATCAGCTATGTGAACCATACAACGAGACATCCACACGGACATACTTACAACATCTATAAAACGAAGAGACTTCACACTTGCTCCCGGCAGGCATCCCATTGCAGAGAGACACGGGTAGTGGCCTTCTTCCAGCACGTACTGGTTACCAGAGAAGTTTTCTCCATCGTACGCAACCCAGCTACATAGGAAAAACCACACACACACATGATGGGAATATTCTTATTCAAGAAATCTGATTTTAGAGGCAGCCTGCTATAAAATAAATAATGCTTGTGGCTAACAGTGTTCTTCAAAAATATCTAGACGTATTTTCTGCACTCAATCTTGTGACAAATATTTATAATAAGTCAGTTGTTAGCTTTGCATTTGGGAAATAAAATCTCTCCATGAAATGATTCATGTTTTTCTTCCCCACCTGCCAGCATTCCTTGCTCCCCTCCTGGGTGCCACCTTCTCCCAGCCAGTGAGGTGTTGTCAAGCCCTGGAGTCCTCTCAATAATCCTTCAACCTTCACAGCCAGTCAGTTGCCTGGATCTGCTTGATTTCCTCCCAAAATTTCTCTCACATTCCTTTTTCCTTATTTCCAACACCTTAGCACTGGGCCAGGAGTCAAAATACCATTGTGACTTACCCAAGTCACTTAGCCCCTCGGGCCTCAGCATTATTGATAAAATGGTGATTATCAGCTTGCCTAGAAGAGTGGCGTTTCTTTGTTTTGTTTTTTAGTTCAACAAATTCTTATTGAGGATTAATTGTGTGTCAGATACTTTTCCATTGCTGGGGATAGACCAGAGGCCAAATCAAAGTCCCTGCTGTCTTGAAGTTTACATTCCAGTGAGCTGAGAAAGATGATAAATGAACAAAAAAAATCCTATGTCTGCAGGTAATAAATGAAGTAGGTGATAAAGAGGAACCAGGACAGGTGGAGGGATGTACTGATTGGCAGTGAAGTTTTACTGTAAATCTGCATTTGAATGCAAAGTCTGTGCTCTTGCCACTCTGCCATGCTAATGTTATGACGGTGCTGTTTAGACCATAAAGAACTATATAAGTAAAGGCACTATTCCTATTATCATTAGACAGAAGTCCTCATCACCCTGGCACAGGTTGCCCTGACCTTGGGCTCCCCCCTCTCTAAAGCTTTCGAACCAGTTTTCAGCAGGACACTTTGAGCGCATTGCCTTTCCCATCGTGTTTCCCATGGCATTTATCTAAGCTCATATGCTCAGGGGGCGCCTTCCCGACCCAATCCTACCCTCCAGACTTGCTTCTCCTCCCCAGTGCAAAGCCCTCCCAGCTAGAGAGGGTGTGTGCTCCCTGGTTAGCATACACACGAACTCCACTGCAGCCATGCACTCGCCTATCGTGCAGAATGGCTATCCTCCTATCCACCTGGAAAAAAATCTACCTTGGGAGGTGCCTTGGAGATTATTCAGAGTCCCTTTATGGATGATGGAATAGGCCTAGAAAGTAGAGGACCTGGTCCAAACCCCATGAGATGGTGATCTTTAACTTCCCCAACCCACACTGATCTCCAGGTCCTCTGTGTCCAGCACTTATTCGCTGCAAAGTATACTTTAGTACTTCCAGGGTCTTGTACTATTGGGCAGTTTCATCTCGTACCAAGCATCTAAAGGTGGCACTAAATACTGCTGATGTGTGAAATCTATGTTCCCCCGGTGATGAGGCTCTGCCAGTCCACTGTTTTGCTTACCTGCCTCCTAAAACTCTGCAAGACTTGGTAGAAAACGAATCATCAACTTGACTTGTTGTTTCTTCAAAGCATCGACTGTGACCTTGAAACTGTGGTTCCGAAAACAAGTGAATCTTGGAAAAAGTAAATGGAAATACATAAAATCATTTTGCAGACACATTAACCCAATCAGCCTTTGAAATGATGACCCAACCACGACCTGTTAGCTTGTTACAGTAAACTGACATGAATTTTATAAATCCTTTAATTTTCTACTTCTACACTAATATCGTTAGAAATACTTGGGCTATACCACTCACGACTGTTTAATTCAGAGACATCAAAGGACAATCTAACAATAGAGGCAGCTTTCTATAGCGCACCCTGTCCTAACAAGCCGGGAGGCATTTTAAAGCTTTATTGTGGCAAAAAGTAATTGTTCATCAGTTCTAACATTAACAGGAAACTGTATTTTAGAAACACTATAGTTTTCCTCCCTCTCAATGGAAGATACTTGCTGACTTATTAGAATCTTGTGTATGCCAGTAAAAGAGGCTACGGTGGTGTTTGTGCCTCTGTAATTAAGGCTGTCTGAACACTTTTTATTAAAAAGCCCAAATAACAAGTGTAATGGCTCCAGTGAGAGACCATGTTCAAGAGACCATATAAAATGTTTGTCTAATGCAGACACAGCAAATATGAAAACTCATACTGTTTATCACAATAACTATATGTATTGTTTGAAATATTTTAGTATATTCATGTAAATTCTTATTCAATATAATGATATAAAAATTTAGGGGGGTTGGGGGAAGGGTGGAGAGGGTCAGGGGGGAAAAAAGAGGACATCTGTCATACTTTCAACAAAGATAAATTTTTTAAAAAGTAAATGAAATTTAACATTACATAATGAGACCATTTTATAAATATATAGATATGCGTCAATGCTATCAAGCATTGAAAATTTAAATCTAATTTAAAAATAGTTATACTTTCAGGCACAAAAATGGTTAAAACTAACAAAATGTCCCAAATGTCTGGGGTTTTACATGTATGTTCAGCTTTTCAATGGATGGCTCCTAATTATAAAGATAGGATATTTTTTTAAGTTACCTGATTTCGTCTCCTTGGCCCACTGAAAGAATCCTAAAGTGTTTTAAAGGGAAGAGAGAAGGAAATAAGTAGAGCAGACATCTTAAAATACATTTTTATTCCAAATTAGCAATTACTGTTAAAAAATATCGGCATTGCTTCTATAGTGTTAAGTATACATGAATCAGAAGCACACATTAAGGAAATGCAAATTTCAGTTAAGTGTTCTCATACAAAAATATAACTTCTTACCAGACATATGGGTTGAACAGAAGAGATCTTGCAATTTTTTCCTCCCCAGTCCTCAAAACTGGTGTAAAAGCCTTTATCCAGTATATACTGTTCTCCTGTGAAGTCAGGATTTTCATAGGCTACCCATCTAAAGAGACAAAAACACTGGTTAGTCAGTTCATAGTTTACATATATAACAAAACTGTCACACACCTCTGAGTAACTGTATCATACAGAAACTTTCATTAGTTTCACCAATCAGCAACCTTAATAATGTTCCTGATTCTCCATTAATCTTTTAAGAGCAGATAGATCTGTCTGGATTAGAAATCAAAGTGGCAAGTGAATGAGTATCTTTGTGTGACCCTTTTGGGTGTTTTCAAACTTATCCAAGCCTCTGCCTTGGGAAAGCGCCAGTGGGGATATATCTGTATTTCTAATTCTGTCCTAAGGAAACAATTTAGACTTTGAAGAAGTAGCTGTCAAAGTTCTGTTAGTAGGCAAATACTTCTTTTTGTTATCAACATTAAATTTTCTTTCCAGAAGTAGACTGGCTGGGGGGAAAATAGGTCTACAGTTGTCAGTACACGAAACATAGTTTATTCTTGTATTATTATTTATTAACTAGAGGCCTGTTGCATGAAAAGATTCGTGCAATAGGCTTTCCCTTCCCCTGGCTGCCGACACCGGTTTTCCTCCGGCACCCAGGACCCAGGCCTTCGCTCCAGCTGGAGCCGCCTTCAAGCCTTCACTGCTCTGGCCGGAGCTGCCTTGAAGCCTTCGCTGTCCCACCTGGCCGCCCCGGGTCGGGTCGCACACAGGATGCCCGCCGCCTGGGGTCGCAGATAGCAGGCCCGGATGGTGGTGGGGCAGGCGGGATTGCGCTGTCCTGCCCTGCCTGTAGTATGCAAATTAGCCGCCATCTTTTGTTGGCGGTTAATTTGCATATCGTGCCGATTAGCCAATGGGAGGTGTAGTGAAGGTACGGTCAATTACCATGTTTGTCTATTATTAGATAGGATTACTAGAGGCCCAATGCACGAAATTCGTGCAAGAGTAGGCCGTACTTCCCCCAGCTGCCGGCACCGGCTTCTCTTTGGCACCTGGGACCCGGGCTTCCCTCTGGCCACAGTCAGACACCCAGAACCCAGGCTTCCCTCGCAGCCCCGGCTTCGTGCAGAAGGACATCCAACCTAATTAGCATATTATGCTTTTATTATTATAGATTGATTGTATTATTTTTCATACAAACAACTATAAACCCACTGGTATTACAGGAAGCTATGTCTCTACACTACAAACCACAATAAGGGAAAAAGTTGACAGAAGAAATAAACACCAAAAAAACCAACTAAGTAACAAAAATTTTGTTTTAAACCGGATTTCCAACATGACACAACTATGTAATAAGCAAAATTGATCAAATGCTCAGAAATACTAAAGACAAATCCCTCTGAAATGTTTTCCTTTATCTTTTAAGTGATCTATACTCGGAGAGGGAAATCAACAAAACTAACTTCTTGGATGCTATTTCCTACCCAAAGATAAAGCCTTTTGAGAGGAAGAAAGTTTTTCAATTCTGTTACATTCAAATATCTTCCCCCAGTTAATTCATTGCCCTCCTGATCCTCTCGCAGCTTAAAGAATTAATACCTATATGCCTGTGTGCATACTAAGAACTTTCCAGAATGCTTTCACATCTAATTCATTTATTAAAAGTTAATTCACTTATTCACTCAACATTAGCCACTTATCATATGCCAGGAACTAGATTGGCACGAGGTGTGCAAAGCTAACAGATGAATAACAAGCATCTCATGGAATTATATGTCGGCGTTTGTTCTGAATGCAATTATTTGTTGGTGTTTGTTCTGAATGGGAAGTGACTTGTGCAAGGTGACACCATCACTTAGTGGCCAGGGATGATCGAACCCATGATTGAGTCTCCTGAGGCTCACCAGGTTCTCTTCGCTTCCTGACCCCAACTGCCACTTGTCCTATAAAGTTTCCTTTCAGGCCACACACTTCGTACTTAAAACAGATTCCGAATGTGCTATGTAAAGGGCCCGACTTCAACAAAAACTCACAGAGCAAGACTCTCAAAAAAGTTTTTTTTCTGACTTTGAGTTTCATACTAGGAAATAAAGAACCAAACTAAAATGCTGATTTACCAATAAGAATAAAGTCATTATGATAACTTTTTTTAAGTTATATATATATACATACATATATATACATATATATATTAATATATTTTATTGATTTTTTTACAGAGAGGAAGGGAGAGGGATAGAGAGTTAGAAACACTGATGGGAGAGAAACATCGATCAGCTGCCTCCTGCACACTCCCTACTGGGGATGTGCCCGCAACCAAGGTACATGCCCTTGACCGGAATCGAACCTGGGACCCTTCAGTCCGCAGGCCGACGCTCTATCCACTGAGCCAAACTGGTTAGGGCGATAACTTTCTTTAAAACCATTAAACGGGAATAGGTTCGTCTTCCTCCCTCAGATCTTGACACAGCTCCACCTTCCCACCCCACGAGCCCCAACTCAGTGCTAGCGCCTCTAAAGTCATCCCTGAGTTCACACTGGAAATTAATCCCTCTGATGTGGATTCTCAAAGCACTTAATCCCCATGTCTTTTGTAGCAATAATTATGTTTTATATAAATACTGTAACTTCTTTGAGGACATAATATAATGCTGTGCACATAATAGACTTCAATAAATATTTGTCAAACGACCAATGAAATATGAGGAAGCAGCTGGCCCTTCCCACAGCCACACAATTTGAAAGGAAGTGGTGTGGGTACGCATGCCTCCCTTCAATACTAAACCTCAACTGCTACACCCAGAACAAGAGCCAGGAAATGCTACTAGAAGTGACTAAAAATAGAAACACATAAAAGCAACATTTCATAAAGAAAAGTGATTTCAAATAAACAAGGGCTGGGTTAAAAAAAGACTGGCAGGGGTACGGAAATTCTTATCTACGCAAATGCCCCAGGGAAATTCTGCTCAGCCTGGCCAAGCTTCTGCTTCTAGGCTGCATGACTGAGCTCTGACTAATTGAACCAACACACCTGCTGAGTATCAAAATGTACAACTGCCACCTAGACCTGGCCACTATATTTTCCTTCTAAATACGTAACTTCAAAGGCAGCCTTTAAATATTGCCACAGCAGTATTTCAGATGACTTCTGCCATACCATTCCTCTTATCTATGGCAGATTCTAAAATGTTAGGGTTCCAGAACAGGACCCAGTAGAACGTATTTCCTGTTAAGAATGGCAGACCCAGAAACCTCTGGTGTCATTCTGCCAAGATAGAGCCACAAGCAACAGCCTACACAAGAATGTGGTGGACATGACTCACAGGGACAGCACACCACACTGCGACACATCCCAGATATCCAGGGATCTTGTGGAAGGCCCCATGAAATGCAATGGAGTTGAGGTTAGAATGATTCAAATGGCCTATGTTACTACTCATGACATAAAAAACCTGACATCAAGGACTTTCAGCAGAACCAATGTCAAATGATTTCATATAACCATGCAAGAATACTCTCACTCGTAACAAATTATAACTGACATCAGCCTGGTTCATAAGAATAATGGTAGAATTCCTTTTAACAGACACTCCCTACCCCCCCTATCCAGTATCTGTGCCCATTCTCTCTGATGTTCGGGAACTGTTCACACCAATCATATCTAAGTGGTTCCTAGGGGACTGGAACTACATCTCAGCTCCAACGATGAGCACGTAACACAGCCACAGCCATCTCCCTGGCTACAGTGACTGACTTAGGCAGGTTCACAGGACTCAAGCCCACAGAATCAAAGTCACACCTGGAACTTTTGTGGGAAAGAGAAGCTCTTTTCACTGGATAGTGAGACAGAAGAACAAAAGCTAGAGGGCGCTGCCCTGGGCCACTAGAGGGAAGGGCCTGCCTAAGGTGAAGCCAATATAGAGAAGATTCCAAAAGAGATAGAGAGAGACCACGTCGTCCTGATGAAGGTGTCTGAGCCCCTTGTCCAGCCATGACCGAAGCAAACCTTCAGCAGGGCATTTCAGGTATGTAGGCCAGTGAGTTCCATTCCCATCACTTACACCAACCCAGGCTGGCTTGCAGTCACTTGCATCCCAAAGTGTCTTGACTAATCACCTTTCAATAAAAGCTTAGTTTGGCATTATTAAAGCATTCAATTGCTAACTCCAGGGACATTGAAACAATTAGTTTTATGTCAAAATAATGGGGTAGGTGTGGGGCCACAGGAAATGGAATGGAACTCTGTCCCAACCTCAGGTCTCTCATGTTAAATCACTGTTATTATTTGATTCCCATCATAAGAAATTCATGAGATGTCTCCACGCAGAATAACAGGGGAAGAGGACCTGTGGATTTCTATCATAAACCCCAAAGCCTACTCCAATATTCTATTACACATGAAAAAATGAAATGAGAAAGGTTTTAAAAAGCAATTATGAAAAATATAGTGGCAGTAGGTATTAAAGGACTGATTTAATATTTAGTTTAATTCTCTGTGTCAGAGAAGGTATAAATTTAACACAAACCAAGGTGAAACCCATGTTTAAAATCCAGGTTGGGCTATTTCACTTACACTCCACTCAGTACATTAATAGACTGTGTCTTCACTCCATATCCGGTCTCCATTAAATTAGCAACAATTCCCAATACATCAATACTGGAACCTTTGGATCCAAAGTTTTTTTCACTGTACATTATCATGTGAGCATTTGAAAAATCCTATTGAGAAAAAAAATCAAAATTCAAAGGTTAGCCATTTGGTGTATTATCCTAAAACACCAAGTATTAGCCATTAACTTTTCTTTGACTTACACCTAATATAGGTCGTAAAGACTGAAGTTCTCCATCGTAACCTCCCCAATCTTTCCAGTCCTTGTATTCTCCTTCTTCAAGCAAGTACTGATGACCTGTAAATCCAGACTTTTCATAAGCAACCCAACTGCAACAACAACAAAAAAAAAAAAAATGAAGGAGTAGAAATTCTCAGGAGTGTTAAAATGTTTCCATTTATATATCAGTTTCATTGACAAATACAAATCATTATAAAGCTACAAATGGCCCTAGCCCAGCCGTGGGCAAACTACGGCCCGCGGGCCGAATCCGGCCCGTTTGAAATGAATAAAACTAAAAAAAAAAAAGACCGTACCCTTTTATGTAATGATGTTTACTTTGAATTTATATTAGTTCACACAAACACTCCATCCATGCTTTTGTTCCTGCCCTCCGGTCCAGTTTAAGAACCCACTGTGGCCCTCAAGTCAAAAAGTTTGCCCACCCCTGCCCTAGCCAGTTTGGCTCTGTGGATAGAGCATCAGCCCATGGACTGAAGGTCCTGGGTTGATTCTGGTCAAGGGCACGTATCTGGTTTGCAGGTTTGATCCCTGGCCCCAGTGGGGTGGGTGAAGGAGGCAACCAATCAATGTGTTTCTCTCATATGGATGTTTCTCTGTGTCCCTCCCTCTCCCTTCCACTGTCTAAAAACGGAAAAATATCCTTGCACAAGGATTAACAACAAAATAAATAAAGCCACAGATGGGCTCAGTCACTATGATTATGCGAATTCTTCTCTAAAATTTAAGCGACTAACAGAATGGCCCTAAGAAAACAATCTAAGAAACATACATCAATGTTCTGTAAAGGAGGAGATAGGGGTGTGCACATGTGTGTGTGCGTGCATGCGTGTGTGTGTGTGTGTGTGTGTGTGTTTAACAAGAACTGACTCAAAAGGACATCAGCAAATAAAACTGGATAAACTTTCTCCAAATAGCAATTAAAATATTATATGTTTTTGGCTATTTACCAGACCACATGCAGTGTACTTCCAAGGAAATATATACGATCTAGAAAGTACAAAATATGATCATAAAAAATGAAAAGCAAACCAACAGTTCCACAGTTTGGAGCATGACATTAATAAACGAGATTGCAGATCTGGCCAATCTGGATGGGCCAATCTACCAGCCTTGCGCAGCTCACTGACCCCAAACAGCCCCTCAAACTGCTGCTCTCAAGTCCAGGCCACAACTGGCTGAGAACACGTTTGAAACTCTCTACCACACCATCTGGAATGTTTTTTTGGGGACGGGGGCGTGCATGTTATCACTTGATTAAAGAAGAAAAAGGAATCCTCACGGTTGTGCCTCTCTACTTACATGCCCCTGAGAACTTTCATGGACCCCACCGACGTCAGCGGCAAACTGGCATCTCCATCGGTTTCCTCTGCTTCACCTCCTTCCGTGATAAAATTATACATTTCTGTTTCCAGTTCCATCCGTTTTCCCTCAAAGAAAGGCTTTTCATAAATAACTACCTGTAACAGAAATGAGAAATACCAGTAATTTGTAAGACGTTAACTATCTCAACAGCTAAATGCTAAATCAGTCATTTAACAACATTAAGTCCTGGAACACAAATTAAAATTTCTCATGATATTTTAAAAAATTGCCGAAACTGGTTTGGCTCAGTGGATAGAGCGTCAGCCTGCGGACTGAAGGGTCCCAGGTTCGATTCCGGTCGGGGGCATGTACCTGGGTTGCGGGCACGTCCCCAGTGGGGGATGTGCAGGAGGCAGCTGGTCGATGTTTCTCTCTCATCGATGTTTCTAACTCTCTATCTCTCTCCCTTCCTCTCTGTGGAAAATCAATAAAATATATTTTTAGAAAAAAAAATTAATTAAATAACAGTATCTTATAATTTTAAAAATCAGAATTTTTTTCCAGTCAGGGTATAGCTCAAAGCTAAGGTTCAAAAGACAGTTTATAAATAATTGGGTCTTGTTTCAATGTCTAGAACTGATATTTAGAATTTCGCTTAGGGCAAACTAAAGAACCAGAAGGTTCTAAGTTGTTTTGAAAATGAAACAAACTAGCTCTGGCCGGTGTGGCTCAGTTGGGTGGGTGTTGTCCTGTGCACCGAAAGGTTGCTGGTTTGATTCCTGGTCAGGGCACATGCCTGGCTCGTGGGCTGGAACCCCGACGGGAGGGGTGTGTGTATGTACAGGAGGCAATTGATCAATCTCTCTCTCTCTCTCTCTGTCTCTCTCTCTCTGTCTCTCTCTCTGTGTCTGTCTGTCTGTCTCTCTCTCTTCCTCTCTCCCTCTCTCTCTGAAAGTCGATAAATATTACAAAAACGAAACAAACTAGAGATCAAACTATGTCATAGATGTGGGAAGCAGAAAGAGCCTTTTGGAGGTGGGAGAACTTGTCTTGAAAGCTTTTTCCTAACTAACTGGCAAGCAGCCACAGGCCCTACAATTAGTAAATACAACTACAAAATATAAATGTGATACAACCATGAACCTGTGAGCCATGGAAGCACGTGCTGTTGGGGACAGCTAGAGCCATCAGCAGCATTTCCCAGCCTGAAGGGCGGCACACGGAAGCTGGGATAACTTCCTTTGGCTGCAATTATGCTTCATTTAGGCTGAACTGTAAAATCGCACACGTATTCTCTTCAGAGAGACAGAGTAGAAGAAAAATTTAAAATACAGTTTTACCTTTGGATCTACAGGGAATTCAACTTTACGACCACCCTGAAAAGAAAATAACACGGTGAGGGAAATGGTTTTTCAGCGATACATTATCTTTTTATATTACACATGTCAGTTTGCACCATCAAACCTCACAGCGAGGGAACATTCCAGTTTGGTTAAATTTATGTGGAGACAGTTCTAAAATTCCCAACAATGCAGATGAAGACATGAGGAAGCTGGTCTGGGGCAGAGGCTCACAGACTGGCCTGTAAGCTGCATCTACATGTCAGCTGTGTTTTTTGACCCAGTAACTTGTAGTTGTTTTCTTTTTAACTCAGTAAATTTCTTAAAAAAAAAAAAAAAAAAATGCAGCCTAGCCAGTGTGGTTCAGTGGTTGAGCATCATCGACCTATAAACCAGAAGGTTTGATTCCCTATCAGGGCACATGCCCAGGTTGCAGGCTCAATCCCCAGTGGAGGGTATGCAGGAGGCAACCAACCAGTGATTCTCTATCATCACCGATGTTTCTATCTCTCTCTCCCTTTCTCTCTCTGGAATCATTTTTTAAAAAATGCATATTTCTCACTTCGCTTAAGAAACAGTTCTAAGATCTGACATTTCTGGACCCAAATTCTCACAGGCAACAAACTTCACCTCCCGAACTTACTAACCCTACGCTGTGCTCATCCTCCAGCCGGGACCCAGGCTCTGGTCTGCCTCTCTCCACCTTCCCTCGGTCCAGTCCCAGCCAGCCTCACTCCTATTTGCTGCCCTGCTCCCAGAGGCATTTGATTTTGCAACCCATGGCTTACAAAACTGTTGAAGTTCATACAAGCTCACAATATGATCTGGAGGACTCTTGAAATAATTAAACTGTCAGGTAAAATTTAAAACACACCAAAGGATGGGCCTATGGGGGTTGGTATACTTTTATAATTAAAAACTTCTTAAATTCTCTAAAATTCACTAAAACAAACCATAGAAAAGGGATGATACAGGAATATTAAACAGGGTCAAGTTAACATCAGCAGTGGGAAAGTCAGAAGGATATTTTTCACCAATACATATTTAAAAGCTTTAAATAAATAAATAAAAAGCACAGCCTATGATGCTCAAATGACCTGTACCAAATGACCTGTAATTATAAAGGAGTGTGCTTGATTTGTCAACAGACTACAGCTTTTACAACCAAGTGCCCTTTTCTAAAGTAATCCAATTTGAATGCCATCAATTTCACAGTTTTGTAAATTACCACTAACAACTGCCTTTTAAATTAGGGGCAATTCTCTGATACATTCACACAACTAACAGAAGTTTGTTCTTTGAGAGTGGATTTAGTTTTAGAAAAAAAGCCCCAAATCATTTACAATAAAACCAGCAAACACACAGGTACATAAGCACAAGCTCTGGCAGGTGGGGTGAGACTAAGATAAAAAGTTGTCTTCCTGAAGTTCTCATTTATTTCAAACTGACTCGGAAGACAACCGCAGAGGGGAATTAAAAAACCACGTCTGTAAGGAGAGCCTCCCTGGGAGTGCCCACCACACCGTGCACACACTGCTCAGCACGGGACAGGACAGCTGCAGCCTGGATCCTGCCAAGGCTTAGAGGCCAGCACAGGAACCAGACAACAGGGCACAACACGGGGGGGGGGGGGGGGGGGGGGGGGGGAGCAGAGCAAGCACAGGCTCCTCTACAGCTAATACTTGGGGAGACAACATTCATTTAGACATCCAGCTCCAGTGCCCCCAAAGCTGCCGCCCAGCCCAGCCTCCTGTCACTCTACCACGCCCAGCCCCGGCCCAGCTCCTGCGGGCCTTCTCTGACATCGCCATCTAAAACCAGCCATCTAAGACCCAGCTCGATTTCTCCTCCCAAGTATCCCCTTGCCGGTCACATCATCAACAAGTTGGAGTTTATCTGTCCTTCCTCCTCTTTTTCCAGAAAGGTTCAATTGTGTCCATTTTCTTTACTTCCTAAGCCTGCCCTGTGCAGAAGCCCGTGCACACACCTGGGGCTCTGCAGGGCTGAGGATGCCTGAGGGCAGAGGACCAGGGCGGGGCCACATTTTTTCACCTAAAGCATCTAGCAAGTTATCCTGCTGCAGGCAGTTAGACAGACATGAGCAGAGCCAGGACCATGGGCCAGGCACAGAAGGTCACCAGGGTGGAAAGCCCGGGGTGCCTAGCAAAGGACAATCAATGGTAGGGTGGGACCTCACCCCCAGGGTGACCTTTCCTCCCCTAGCATATCATTAGTCATGAGGTTTGAACCCCGTGACCTCCTCCCTGGAGACAGCGTCTATGTCTCAGTTGTATTTCAGCTCCAGGCCCAGGTAAACAACAAAACCAGCCACAGCTGACGTCAGGACCAGCTGCACTGAAAAAAGACGCCCTGCTCTGGTGCAGGCCAATCAATCAGTGGAGACCACAACCCTGAATGGATGCTCCTGGGAGGCTACTGAACATTCCATTAAGGTCGTTCCCTAGGACAGCGGTTCTCAACCTGTGGGTCGCGACCCCTTTGGCAGTCGAACGACCCTTTCACAGGGGTCACCCAAGACCATCCTGCATATCAGATATTTACATTACGATTCATAACAGTAGCAATATTACAGTTATGAAGTAGCAACGGAAATAATTTTATGGTTGGGTCACAACATGAGGAACTGTATTTAAAGGGCCAGAAGGTTGAGAACCACTGCCCTAGGGCCTTCCCTAAAGTCTTCACCCTCAAAACCCTTGGGGTGCAGGACCTAGTGCACGCTTCTTCAGGAGCACACCTGTGCCTTTCCCTTCCCTTTCCACTTTCCTCTCCCTCCCACCCTTCCCAGGCACAGCACCATTAGCTTCCTCACTCCCAAGCTCCAGAGCCCTTCCGTCACCTCCATAACTTGTTTCCTAAGCCCAATTCTTCTGGGAATTACTTCTTCTACCCCTGCGATTTACCAAGTAAATGTCCTCTTACAATTTGGGAACCAGCGCCTCACCCTCCTCAAGTACCGAGGCTGCTGAACCCAATTTTGATCTGACCCACCGGTCAGACAACTGGTGCCATTCCCGCCGCCTACAACAATCCTTTCTGTTATTTCTATTTTGTTAGTCTGCGTTACTGCTTCCAAGTCACATCCTGTGAATCAATGGTGTCAGGCTGGCAAAGAACCACCCACTCCAAGCACACTGTTACATTTCGCGTTTACCATTTTCAGAGGCCGCATGGATCCAATGTAGGCCACTTCTGTGTTCCAGAAGGACAAGTCAGGGTATTCCCCGGGCTCCAGGATAAACGGGACACCCAGAAATCCCGGTTCTTCATAAATCAGCCATCTAAGTAGCACCGAGGAAAGACAGAAACAGACAATGCGTCACCTATTTCAGTACACAGAGCCCCCTGACGAGCAAAGACAAGGACCAAAGTGGATGTGGGTGCATCTGCATGACGTACGGTGGTTCTCAGAGCAACGTTAGACTCGAGGAATAAACTTCTACGCGCCTCTTCTTAAGAATCTTTGCTTGTCTCCTTGGCTGGTTTTGTCCATTTAATTTATATTATGAACGGATTTAAAGTGTAACCATCTCTATTACTTCCAAGTGTTAAAAGAACATGTGATCCCTAAGCAGCGTGGTCAGACCATGTTGCTCAAGGGTCAGCTGCAGTTCTCTTGTTGCTTGGCCTGTATTTACAGAGGGAGACCCTGACGAGGAAACCTCAAGCTGTGTTTGAAAAGGCAACATCTCATTTGTAACCAAATAACAGGATGTTCCACTTACTGGTCAGTCACAGTGTCAAAGACTAATAACAGCTAACATCCACCTACAGCTCATAAGGAATGCCACCCAGAACTTCATCTAACCCTCAACAATGCTATGAGGAAGGAGCCCTACTGTCCCCATCTTACAGACGAGGTGAAGTACACTGCCCGGGGCCACACAGCTGCAAATACCAAGCGCAGGGCTGATCCCCACTGATCCAGACCCAGGCTCCTAATCATTTTCTTATGGCAGTTTTTTCATTCCAGGGCGTGGGTGTAACTGACTCTCCACAATGACTCAGGATCCCCACTAGGAGCATGACAATGCACAGTGCTGGCCTGGGGGTGGGGGGTAGGGAGGGTGCAGGGGGAGCTTTCTGAGTTCTTGGTTTTTTATGGCTTTTCAAAACCACACCCTTTCATTAGGCTTGTCAGCTGTCACTTCTCCTTCATCAGGGAACCAGCCGCCTCACCCTCCCCTAATGGGCTAGAAACCGGGAAACCAGAAACTCATGCCTGGTAGGACTGCCCCTAAAGACGGTACAAAGCCTTACCAACTTCCTGGAGGGTTCTGGGAAGGTGAGGCAGCTGGAGAAGTGAGTTCTATGTAAGACAGGTGTTATATGCTCTCTTCATAAACAAATATGGAATTCTTAGTGATCACTTCTCTCCAGCTCTTTGTCAGCCTTGCCAGCGTCCCAGCGGGGACACTCCACCATGTTCCCAGAAAACCACACCAAAACGGGGGTGGCTGCCCGTGAAGCCTCTTACCAGCACACGTATCTGAGTCTCCCTTTGCTTTTCTCGTGTTCCCAATTTTGGCCCAAGGGCACTTTTTGGTGACAGTTATTGTTTAAAATTCCCCTGGATAAATCAGTAACTTTTTTAGACTCACTAATTATACAAGGATTTACAATCAAAATCCTACTGAAGACTAGCCAACACACACACACACACACACACACACACACACACACACACACACACACACACACGGAGAGGCTGTGTGTGGTGTGTACGTGGAGATTAAAACGAATCTAGTGTTAGAAGCCAGGATAATAGTTACAGCGAGAGCAAAGGGCAATGAGCCGCAGGCGTGTGGGGGAGCTTCTGAGACACTGGTTATATTCTATTTCCTGATCTGGTTATACTTTGAAAATTCACTCAGCGTATACACTGATGATTTGTCATGCACCTTTTGGTACAAATGTTATATATACATCAATTAAAAAATTTAAGGAAAAAAAGAGGTTTATCTTTTAAACACCACTGCCATGCCCCTACACCACAAGAAAATAGAAGCTAAAAGACTGAGGTCCTTTAACCCTCCTTAACATTTGACGCATGACAGTGAAGGGTGCATTACATGTTTTCAGAACTCAGTGCTCTCGCGGGCACACACACATTTCATGCCCTAAGTAAATAATGGCAGTTCACCATAAATTGTGCTGTTAGGCTAATCAGCCAAGGGCCTCCGAGTCTGACTCCTCACAATGAATGGCTCAAACAAGTAACTCTGAGACTTTGAAATGATGCTGACTCAGTTCATTAAGTCTTTCCTTTCATAGTCTGAGTTCTGAGGGGATTTATTCATCTGATACCAACCATTTCACTTTCCTGGAAACATGTGACTTAGTCACCTGACATTTATAGAAGCAAGTCATCTGGGGTGAAGGGGGATTTGCTAAAACTCTGAACACAAACTGACACCCCGGAAAGGCTGCTGCTCTGAGCGACTTCCCGGTGAGTGAGTCCGAGGGCCTGGGGAGCTCAGGCAGACATTTCTGGATGCTGATGGACTTTGGAATCTGAAATCTCATTTACAGAGTGTGATTCATTTTTCCTTAGTTCTATTCTAACAAGATAGTGATTCATTTTTCGTAAATTCTATGCCAACAAGTTACATTATTCACCAGGCCGTCAGGAGAGGGGGAAACTGTCTTCAGGCAGTTATTTCAGTTTTTTTTATTGTCCCATGTACTTAGGTAATGAGCTTTTGCCTGAATTAGGAGTAAACAGCACAACTCTAAAGTATGGGCTTCTTTAAAAAACAACAACAAACTAACAAATATACATACACAAATACTGTTGAAGTAATAACAATGCCCGTCTATTCCATTATTTTTAAATAACCTTGTGGAATTACTCTTTTTGGAAATACCCTTCACGTCACATAAAAAAACAACAACTGTCTTATCTTGTTGCACTTAAATCAGAAACAGTATTTCCAGCTGGATCCCAAGTCTTATTCTCCACACATGGCTACACACGAGTGTTGGCTATGTACAGAAACCAACTGGATATTCAAAAGATTACATGTGAATGTGCCAACTTTCAAGTTATTCAAGAGTTTGAGCTATGATTGTCAAAGGGGAGAATGTGCCTTTACAATGGAGAGGTGAGGGAGGCACTATTTTTACCAAGCAATTCAGCTTGGTGTGGTTAACGGCAAGCTAGTTAGCACGCGCCACCTTTGTGCACAACACAAGTATGTGGCGATATTTTTCCTAAGCCGTTCAACCTGCATGTGATCATACCTCTAGACCTAACCCCTGATATACAGAAAATTCAGGAAACAGAAGAACAAGTTAATTGGTATCACGAGGAAATAGAGATGAATCTAGAGGTGACACGCGAACTCATTTGTTTGGTTGATTTTTCTTTGTTAAATGGCATTTAAATATGTAAAATAAATGTCAAAAATATAAGTCTTTGTTTTACTACGGTTGCAAATATCAAAAAATTTCTATATGTGACACGGCACCAGAGTTAAGTTAGGGTTTTTCAAAATGCTGACACGCCGAGCTCAAACGGTTCGCCATCACTGATCTAGAGTGTGGTATAGTCTCTAAGAGAGCTGACCTAAATGCTTCAAAAGTCAGTGGCATGGAAGTCCTGGCCGGCGTTGCTAAGTGGTTAGAGCACCAGCCCTCACAACAAAGGGTCATGGGTTTGATTCCCGGTCAAGGACACATACCTGGGTTGTAGGCTCAATCCCCGGCCTGGCAGGTCATGAAGCATGTAGGAGGCAACCAATCAATGTGCCTCTCTCTCCCCCTCCCCACCTTCCTCCCTTCCACTCTCTCTAAATATCAATGGAAAAAATATCCTCGGGTGAGGATTAACAAAACAAAACAAAACAAAAGCAGTGCCATGGGAAACAAAGATGGGGGTACTTAAGAGATTAAAAGGGACTTAAAAGAGACTGACAACCAAGTATATTTACATGAACTTTGATTGGATCTTGATTATTTTTAAAAAATCCATAAAAGACATTTCTGAGACAATTGGGAAAATTTGGTTATGGGATTAGACATTATCATGGATGTATTGCTAATTTTTTTAGATGTGATCCTGATAGTTAGGCAGGAGAATGTCCTTGTAAAGAGATGCAGGGTGAAGTACAGTGAATATTATATAGTCATAAGAAAAAACTAAAACACAGATACACTCACTGACATGGGTAATCTTAGAAACAATGTAGAGAGAAAGGAACAAGCCACAGGGAACTTTGATAATAATTTTATGAAGCGGAAAAGCAAGCACAACTAAAATATTGTAGGTACAGAGACTATAGGGCCACCCTATAAAAGAAGGGGATAAGAAAAAAATTCCAGAGAGCTTATGTGTGTGGAGAGGGGCCAGGAGGATGGGGCAGGGTGGGCTGTGCAGGGTGCTGCACAGTTTCAGTAACGGTGAGGGAGGGCCTACGCTGGGTGGTGGGCACACAAAGGTTTGTTTTACTACTAGACTTCATAATTCACATACATACATACATACATGCTTCTGTATTATCAATTATTTCATAATAAAACTGACCAAAAATATTTGGCTATTAAAAATGTCCCTTGATTTCAGAACCCCTGCATTCTCGTAACGCTGAGTAAATGACTGCGCCTGTCTTCCTTAGCTAAATGATGGTGTTAGAGCAGATGGTCTTTATGCTTCCTCTGAAGTCTACCCTCACCTCTGGGATGATGGCTACTGGCATTACTGAGCTATTAAAATGAAGGTTTAAAAACAGATTACACGCCAGCAGAATATGAAAGGAAAAATGTATCTAAAGATCACTCATTTTCCCAAATAAAAATATGACAAGTAATACCCTTGTTTTGTGTATGTGTATCCAGAATAAACAGGCCTGGAATAAATCTCCTACAGACATTTTTAAAAGTTCCTTACACAGCAAAGATCTTTCTTATACCAGTTCAGGGGACTGGAGCACCAACAGAAGCAAAATGAGCTCAGCTACCTATTACCAGCGAATTCTCCGAGCCCCTCAGGAATGGCCTTGCAGATCTGTAAAAGCGCTAATGACCTGGCCCCACTGCTGACCTATCAAGTTCAATGTGCCCAAAATTTGAACTGACATCCAAGACAGCTTTCTGTTCTCCTGGAGGCAACAGAAATGAACAGCCAGAGAAAAGCTGTCCGTGCCACGCAAGCCCATCAGACCCTGAAAGCTGTGACAGGCTCTAACTACCACCCACGAGACAAGTCAACTTATTCTAAAGTGCAGCTCATTAGGCTTCCCCATAGCCCAAGCCTGAGTCATGAGATTAAAATATGTTGGCAGATGCCTATTTCATTCCTCTCTAAGGAAAGTGATATTCTCGACATTCTTACTTTAGGTCTCACTGATGTGAAAAAATTAAAGGCACCAGGAAATGAAGACTTTTTATCTTTTTTTTTTTTTTTTCCTTTTGTTTAGATCCCTCCTTCTCTTCCCAATCACTAAATATAGAAGTGGCCAAGGCTCAGATGGCTTTTCTGTTCTTTACACTCCGGCCCTCTGAGGTCTCCTCAGCGCATGGTGTGCATGCCTTCACTCCTGAGGACTCTAAACTTACATCTCCAGCCTCCCTCCAGGACTCCAGTCCCAGAAACCCGGCCTCCTGCCTGGCCTCCACCCTCAAAGAACAGCTGGCACGTCCAACCTCACATCTCCAACACTGAACTCCGGAGCTGCCCCTCCTAGCCTCTCCTCCAAGTCTTCAATCTTTATTGATATTTGACTGCTGGGCTATTATTGATGTATAGAACAAACAATAACACTTGGGTTAGTTCAGGGGAGGCTCTTTCAAACTTTAACAAAAGGAACAAATTTAATGAACTAAAAAGGTGACCCCCTTGAATAAATGATGTGACTTATGCTCCTGTTTCAAGATTATGACAAATGCTGGGGTCCCAAACCCTGGATATTTCTCAGCCCTTCACACCTCACAGACAATCTGTCAGCAGATGTTGTCAGTTCCACCTTCAAAATGTATCCAGAATCTGTTCATTTCTCACCAGCACTGCTGCACCATCCAAGCCACCAAAAGTTCTTGCCCATATAACTGCAACTGCCTCCTAACTTGTTTCTTTGCTTCCGCCCTCGCCTCATTACAGTTTATTTTCTATACAGCAGTTAGTGACCTTTCTAAAACTCCATCAGTGATTACCCACATCCCTTCAAGTCATCTAAAATCCATCCCAACGCCTATGAAGTGACGCCTCTCCCCCTGGGCGTCCTGCCTCATAGTCCGCCACCTGTGCCTCCTGGCTGTTCCCTGAGCATGCCCAGCAGGGCTTTGCAAAGGCTGTGCTTCCTGCCCAGGCCACTCCCCCTGCCCCTCCTCCCTCAGAGAGCCCCAGGGCTGACTCCCTGGCTTCCTCCAGGTGTCTGCTTGGCTAGTTAGACCTTTCCTGACCACTTCAGCAGCATCACCACTGTCCCTCTCTGTAACTTACGTTCCTGTAGTATTTACCATCTGACACATTACACATGCATTGTCTTACGCAGACCCCATCAATAAAAATTTTTGCACATTCTCTGAATACATGAGTATAGAAATTACATATTACCACTGAACATATCATGAATTTATTAGAAACCATACACAAAAATGAAATCTTAGACGGAGATTTTAAATAAAATATAAAGAAACTTTAGTATTTGGGGCTGGGCTTTTTTCTGCATCTCAGTGGCTGTGTTCACGTGCCCTAGGCTGTGCACTCCACTTGACAGACCCCGTCCTTCAGTCCTGCAGCCTGCACTTTCTATCCTTGCTTCTCCCCCATTTGAGATATTTTCATTTCCTTCAACATACTCTTGCAGTTTCCTGTGATTTGTGAAATCAACATCCTAGGGGCTTTGGACAGCATTGTGTGAAGCGTGACAGGAAGTGCCACGTGCGTTGGCCTCTGTCCCGGCTGAAACATCAGGGGCACAGGCTTTGAACGACCAGGAAGGTAAAATCTCCTACTCAGCTGTGAATGAATCAGGTTCCTCTGTGATAAGGAAATCCCCACATTGAAAATGCATTTCCCCCCTTGCTTTTCCCCTAAGAAATCATTGTAAGAGCTGTACAACAACATCAGAATTTTATGTGCCTTACTAAACAACAACAACCCTTTTAGTCAGTAATTAATCACTTAGCAACACAACAAATTAGAGACAGAATATTTTAAGTCTTCTTTCCAGTACGACACTCACCAAAAAGGCTTCACTGAAATTGTACTTAAAGTAAAGCACTTACGTGCCCCAGTGCACTTTCATGGAACAGGTTTTCTGCATTACACCAAACCCCTGCATCTCTCCAGTGTCATCAAAGTAGGAACTGGCGACTCCTAGCCCTTCTCGTTCAGTAAATAAGTCAATGTGACTAACTCTGTAATCCTGAAAAATAAAAAATACATGTACATACATAATAATTACACCATGAATGTAACTGTACCGTAAGCCCGTTTTCCCCAAAGAATTAAAATAAGCTTTAAATATACACATACCTTTCACAGAGCACCTGCCATTTTATCCCTTTCCTGTTTTCACCCATGACTTAATAATAGGTGGTCTTTTGGGGCGGACACATTGCTTTTATCATATATCCGAGTTTTAAATTCAAGCAAAGATCATCAGAAATATATTTAACTAGAGTTTTGGACATATTTATTTCTCTCATCCTCACTGGAAAGCTGCTGGCTTTCCTTGGTGACAGCAGTTTTAGTTTAGTTTAGTTTGTTTTTGTTTTGTTAATCCTCACCAGAGGATATGTTTGCCATTTATTTTAAAAAAGAGTGGAAGGGAGGGAGAGAAACAGAGAGGAAGAAACATCGATATGAGAGAGGCACATCGATCAGTTGCCTTCCACATGCCCCCGTCAAGGCCAGGGATTGAGTGTGCAACCGAGGTATGTGCCCTTGACCGGAATTGAACCCGCCACCCTTCAGTCCGAAGGCCAAAGTTCTAGCCACTGACCCAAACCAGCTAGGGCAGGAGTTTTAGTTTCCTTGCTCTGATGTGACCACCCAACTCCAGAGAATCAGGTCTATAGAGTGGTTGTGCCAGGAGTCTTCCTCCACTGTTGTTCTGTGCCCTCCCATCCCCCATTGGAAACGCTCCTTGACTGACCAAACTCCTATGACGCCGGTCTCGTCTGAGTACTGCAAAGGCACAGTTATGGTGATTCATAAATCTCTGCACTTTGATCACTGTTCCATGCCCTGCATGTCCACAGCCCATCAAACACTCTTCAAAAGGCCTCTCCTGGCTGAGTGCCTAAGTGCTAACCAAATCTCTCTTAATATTTGATTGCTTAGCGAGGTGAACCGATGTACAGAAGAAACAATAACACTTGGGTTAGTTCAGGGGAGGCTCTTTCAAACATTAACAGAAGAAACAAATTTAATGACTAAAAAGGTGATTCCCTTGAATATTTGCTGTGACTTATGTTTGTGTTTCAAAAAACCATAAACAAACTGTAATAATAATAATAATAATTCATGATATATCAGGAGCCATAAAAGTTTTCCCACCCTTTAACATGACACCCTTCGTAAAAATTTACCCCAGGGAAATAAAGCAGAAATGTATAAACTACTATGTGCACAAAAATGTTCATGCAGCGTTATTTAAAATAGTAAAAAACTAGAAACAACCTGAAGCTCCACAGAGCGTAGAAAGAAAAAATAAATGATGGTACATCACTTCCATGGAAACCCCAAAGGATGTGGACATGAAAAGCATTAACTTCATCAAGTCTGCTGTTATCAGGCAATGTCCCTTCCCCCACCTTCTTGAATGCACCTGAATCTCCACCCCACCAGATTCTGATACCTCCCTCAGCTGCAAATCAGTGAGAGATGTTACCAATGGGAGTGTGATCTTCAGAAAAATTGTATGGAAAGAGAAAACGGACTGGGCACTAAAGTGTTAAGTGAAAAAAAGGAAAAGAGCATTGTGCCCATATTAGAATAGCAACCACATTAGAATATCAGCTGAGAAAAATTCATGCTGGTGGGATTTGGATGATTATTTTAAAATACTACTGTATTACCAATATTCTTTCAGCAATAAATAAAAACTGCAAATAAATTATTCCACTATGTCATTTTTAAATGGGGCTCCTCATGTCTTTCTTAAGCTTTATCACATTATGCACTTATATAAAAAGTCTTACTCATTCTTAGTCGTTCTCATTTTAGAACATTCATTTTCTCCCTATTGCACCCCAACACCCATCTCTATTACAAACACAGTTTTAATTTTCCATTTGGAAAGTACCATTAATTACCTTTTTAAAAGGTAAAAAGGGTAAAGAATCATCAAATCTCAACAGCCACAAGAAAGATGCTGCAACAAAAAGGAACCAAGGAAATTTTACCCAATCCATAATGTAGCCTCAAAGACTTATTTTTTTAAAACCCCAGAGCCGAACTATCAACTGAGTTATTTATTTTTCCCAAATAGAACTTTTCTAAACCACTCAAAGTAATCAGAACTCACACAGTAACCAAAAAAAAAAAAAAAAAAAAAAAAACACACACAAAAACCCCCACAAAACTAAATAAAAGAAAAATCTGTTCATTTATAACTTATCAAAACTAGGTTATTATATAAAATACACTTGGAAAAGGGATGGGGAGGCCAGGCGTAAAAAATTAACCTTCAAGGTTTATTGTGGAAAAGGTGACTAACCAATGTTTCTTTTTTAATTCATTTTTTAAAATCATTATTTTGACATTATTTTATTTCTTCTTTCCATTTTACAAAATTTCTTGGGGTGAAACTGGTTAACAAAATTATACAGGTTTCAGGTGCACAATTCTACAACACATCATCTGTACTCTGTACTGTACCACCCTAAGTCTCCGTCCATCACCATTTATCCACCCTTTACCCTCCTTCACCCCTCCCCAGTCCCCCCTCCCCAACAGCTGTCAGTCTGCTCTCTATCTATGACTCTGTCTCTATTATGCTTGTTAGCTCATTTTGTTCATTAGATTCTACATATGAGAGAAATCATATGATACTTGCCTTTCACTTTATGCTAAGTGAAATAACCCAGTCTTTTCTAATTCATTTAAAGTATACAAATACTTATAAAAAATATATCCATAAACACCAATCAAATATTTTTCCCAACCACTTATTCCATAAAATGAACTTTTCTCTCAAAGTAAGACTCATCCCTGGCATTCAATAAGTATTTGCTGAATGAACAAATGGATTCTGGTTTTCCCATAACCTACCTGGACCACATGTCTGATTGAACCAATCACCACAGGTTTAGCAGACTCTTCCTCCTCTTTTCTTTCCAAAATATCATCTATACCCCAGAGACCAGCAAGTTCCAATTCTCCTTCTTCTAAGGGGATGGAGTGCCCTTCAAAATTTGGTTTCTCGTACAAAATCCAACTATGAATAAAACACAGCAAAACTATTAGCCAGGCCTGGTGAGAGAGGTTTAGGTCACTCAAATATTCTGGGTAAAAGCCACCATATATAAAACACATTATGGCCAGTTCTCTATCAGTGATTGCAATTGGCCCGTTCCTGTGTGGAATGGACCCTCAGGCTGCTGACTGTGAGGACAGCCCCACAGTGTATGAGCTGCTGTGAGGGTGCTGACCACACGAAGCGGAATTCGCCTCAGCAGGGTTTAGTGCCTGCCGAGACCTCCCTTCCCATATGCTGCTTGTGAGGTTTATCGGATCCTGCGCTGATGTCTGAAGCTGGCCACTGGGTGGGTCTCTGGTGCAGGCCAATGTCGGGCCCTGTCTGTGCCTGGCTCTCGGCAGCCTGTGCAGAGCCGTCTCCGGTGGCTTCTGCTGTAAATCCCTGGTTAAAGACTCCTCTTCAGCCAGCCTTCAGTTGTTATTCAGGATGATTCTCCTTTAATTTAGTTGCAGTTCCAGTGTGGTCATGGGAGGAGGTGAGTGTAGCTTCCACCTACTCTGCCACCACCTTGAAATCACTTCTCACTGTGAAAATGTATTAACCCTCCCTAACCCAAAAATTCACTAAAATTTAGCTTCTGATAATTCCAGAATTATATCAGGACCTTAGAGAACATTCCACTATCAATATTAATGTCCTAGAGATACTAATGTTCTATAGAATTGCCAGTTAGTGGAGACTTAAAAAATGGATATAATTATACAAAGAACTACACATGTTAAAAAAAGCATTTAAAAAATATCCTTCACAACAATATCCAAACACTGAAGAAATACTTCACTTCAATACAGGTGTGGTTTACAATTGTTCGTATGAAAAAATAATAAAGTAATAATACAAACATAAATTGTATTTTACTCACAACTGTAAACCTACTTTTGCCCACCTGTAGTATGCTTTCAAGAAGAGGGAAGCCAACAAAAATTGCAAAAAAAAGACCTCTTTTATTAAAAACAAAATTGTTATACAAAAATGTTAATGTTATTTTCAGTCTTCAAATTTAAAAACAAAAGCTTATTATATTTTCTAATGAATATGTTGAATATATAGAAAAATATAGTAAAATATCTAAAACTTTATAGGAAAGATGCTGCATATTTAATCAAATGGAGACCAAAAGAAAAGCTTACTAATTTTTTAAACCACAAATGTCAAGAGCCCTATCTCTTTATTTCAAACAAGTTTACAGTTAGGTACCAAAGATAAGTATTCATGCCTCATAAGTAATTTTTTTAAATGCATTTCTTAATTCAACTTCCTTTGTATGCTCTAGAAGCAATTAAACTGGTAAAAGAATTTTTTCACCAGCTTCTTTACCACCTGTTATCAAAAAGTTGGAAAATAACTTCTAACTTCATCCTTCACTGAACTATTATATAAAATGTTAGCAAAATGTCTTTCCTTATGGAATTTAAAAAACTCTACCAACATAACTAGTATAATTCTTATCAACCTCACTGAAAGTTCATAAGCCAAATAAATGTATATCATGGACTACAATGTCCCTTAGTCCAAACCAATGTTATGTACATGGGGATACATGGGAAAGAAACTTAAATGCTACACTTTCCTGATTTTTCTACCAAAAATATGTTTCATTCCTGTAATCCGAAACATGATTAAAAACCATATTTCTTTGTTATGAATTCCGTTTAATATTCACTGGGACTAGTACTGTCTGCCCTTTACATTGCTAACGGCATAATTTTAAGTAAGGACTGAGGGCCGAAAAGGTAATGAAAAATGTAAAATGTAAGCCCTATAGCCAGGAAGTCAAAGAGCCAGTCTTACCAGCCTCTAACAACTTTCACAAGCACCACCGGCGAGAGGCGCCACGAGCTACAGTCCTCGGTGTCACTGAAGACTTCAATGCACGCCTCAGAGACCTCCGGCTCACTGTAGATCACCACCTACGAGAGAGTGGGAGTGGGTGCACTTCTTACTGTGCGTTGTCAGACAAAAATAAAAGCTAGACTAGAAACAGAAAATAATCTTACCTTTCCAGGTCGGGGATTGATTTTATTTTGGACACTTCCTCTAAGCGTCTGTAATCAGATGAACAAAAACACAACAAATTATTAAACTTTGCGTACCAGTCCTCATTTCTCCTCCATGATCCTTTGAGTATGATCATATTCACCTCACAATCTGCCAATTTTGAAACAAGTCGCCCTTGATCTAAGTTATAGTAAAAGTCTCTTTGAGTCTATACTATTAAGAGCTTCCCATGCCCAAGTGAAGTCGCCGTTTCGATTTCTCTTCACTTACTAGTAAATGCCTAGGCTATTTTCACCAATCTAGAAAATTTAGGCCTCAAGAGTCAGACCTATGTTTTATATGAATTTACAGAATAAGAACTCAGCAGATTACAATTCAAAATATCTTGGTATAATCTCAGATAAAGAAAGAGAAAGTATAATGTATTAATCATTTATCTAGAATGAGCTGAATCAATTTTATGTGTTCATATACACCTAATCTGAATCTATACAGTTTTTCATAGTAATATCTACCATCATATAACAACTACTAGTCTAAATAAAAACATGTTGATGAAGCCGTCTGTTGTGGTGCAGTCAATTGGAGTGTCGTCCTGTACACCAAAAGGTGGCGGGTGCCATTCCCAGGCAGGGTACATACCCAGGTTGCAGGTTTGGTCCCAGGTAGGGGCGTGTATGGGAGGCAACTAATCAATGTTTCTCATATCGATGTTTCTCTCTCTCTCTCTCTCTCTCTCTCTCTTTCTCTCTCCCTCCCCCCTTCTCTCTCTGAAATCAATAAAAACACACACACACACAACAACGTGCTTATGGATTATTTCACAATGGACCTTGTACATGGTATTTTATTACTCCCTTTTTGATAGATAAAATACGAAGACCAGTAAAACCAGAAATGCATAACACAATAAAAATAATAATTATACATGTAAAAAAAAGATAAAACATGGACTACTTTCAATGCTGACCAGGATACCTACTCTAAGGACTGCCTTTGATCTGATCACTCTTGCATCATCCCGGACTAGAACATGCCCAAGAGACCAGAGGAAGGTCTCAGGAAAGCATTATTAGAAGTCAAAATGGCATTGACTTATTTATATATACACATTAGAAATAGATAAGCTGAAGAAAAAGCCTAAAAATTAAAACAAAATTTAGGTAACACATAGAAGATAGAATAGTTATATATAATCAATAAAGCCCCAAAGCTAAAGAAAAACAAAGGGGGGTATACAGCACTTTGTTTCTCCTTTTTACCCCATTTTGGCTGTTTTTCAAGAGATTCCTCAGGGAAACTGTATATTCTGTTGTCAGACTCACCAGACTGTTGTCAAATAAGAGAAGTGATCCAAGAACGATGAAAAAGAGAGAATAAGGCTGTCATGAACAGGAAGTAGACCAGTGGAAATTTTGTGATTCAGAGAAATACTTAAACATTTTATAATTTCTCTGAGTTATAACTTAAGTGCTCATATGCAGTAGTGGTTCCCAAAGAGTGGTCCAGAGATTCCTGGAGGGCTCGCAACATACTTTCAGCAAGTCCACAAGATCAAAACTATTTTCATAGGAAGAAGAGGCAATTTACTTTTTTCACTCTCTTCACCTCATAGGATACAATGGCATTTCCTGAGCGTCCATGACATCATTGCCATGATGGCTAATGAAATGTACACCTGTGTGTTCTTGTGCTTTTTTACTTTTGTTAGTGTTAATGTCTAACATAATAAATTCTGAGAAGTAAAACCCATGTGAACAAATGCTCTTTGGAGTCCTCAATAATTTTTAAATATAAAAGCATCCTAAGACCCAAAGTTTGAAAACTTTTGAAAAGAGGGATCTGTACCTTGCCGGAAACCCAACTATATATATAAATTTTTAAAGTATCTTTTTATTGATTTTGAAGAAGAAGGGAGAGGAGGGAGAGAGAAATAGAAACCTCAATGATGAGAGAGAATCATTGATTGGCTGCCTCCTGCACCCCCCCACACAGGGGATCGAGCCCACAACCTGGGCATGTGACCTGACCAGGAATAGAACCGTGACCTCCTGGTTCATAGGTTGAGGCTCAACCACTGAGCCACACTGGCAGGGCCCAACTACATTTTTTTAAAGAGCTTCCAGAATTACATTCTAAGATAGGCTTGCAGTAAAAGCCAATACAACAAACTGAAACATGTGGCAGTGCCTCAGACACGAGGGAGGGTGCCAGGTATTCTCTGCTTGGATAAACTGTTTCAGATGATGGTCTACACTTGACAGATGGCCTGGCTCATAGGATAGGCAACAGGAATACAGAGGTGCATTCATGTTTCTGGGCTAACAGAGCTGACCTCTAAACCTTATATTCTGTTTTCCTCTTTCATTGTCTTCCCTCAACTTGAGTATCAAGCTTGGTAACAGAAAGGCACAAATTCACATAAAAAATTAGATTAAGAAAACATCAGCAGTCAGACAGAAGAAGATGGAGAAATCATAATTGTTGCTCAAAATCATATTTTGCTGCCCTCTCTACAATATTCAAGGAATGAGTCAATGTAGCCCCAAATTTTTTACTCCTCAAAGCCTTTGTGGGAAAAAACACTCCCCTGATGAAAAGTAATTCCAAATAAAGAGAAAATACTTTCTCAAATGCATAGCAGACATCTTTATTGCTACTTATGGAAAGAAAGAGTGAACCTCACAGCACAAGAGAAGGGATTAGGAATAAGGGTAGCTGCTTCACAAATCTCCAAAATTCTAACTATAGTACTGAGCATTTTTAGGCAAAACTAGGTAAGAAAAAAAAACATCTTGTCTCTCTCTGAACTCTCAAGGTATTTTATCTATACCTTTCCTACTACAGCATATAAATTCACAAGTACCTTAAAATATCAGTAACTTGCTTTCCCTGCTAGACTACAAATACCTTGAGAGCAGAATCTTAGTTATCTTTTTCTTGGACCCTAGCAGTCCCTTGTACATAGGTTTCCAAATATGCGCTCAAGAAATTAAAAAATGATTGTGTACAGCATAACCATTTCTAAAAGAATAGCATGAATTGCTCATTGTCCCTCTCTCCTTTCACTTTATAAGTACCCCAAATAAGTGATCATATGTTGTTGCTACTTACTGTTGGATCTGATAACGGCATTCCAGAAAAAGAAATGTTTGGGTCAAACCGTCTGGATTTGAAAAGACCCATGAAGTCTGTGTCACTGTTCCCATAGCTCGGCAAGTTCGATGTAAGAGCACTTTCAACGTGATTCACCTTTTCCACATCATCGCTGTTCTTTGGTTTTGAAAATTCAGACAATTTCGTTTCTGGCAGGTGTAGGTTGCTTCGTGAATCCAGATCTTTTTTACTTTCCTCTTTTTGCAGGTATTTTTCCATGTAGCTTGGACTTTTCAAGCCTGAATGAGATGTGTTTGACGAGTCGAAATTGAAGACCTTTAAGAAGTTGTTGGGCAGAAGATCTGGCTGTTCTTTTTCTGAAGAGCAGGGTGGGGCCCCCTCAGCCACAGGCTGTGACACAGGAGACCGAGAAAGAGAAGTGTTCTGAGAAGAGCTGAAAGTTGTGGTCATAGCATTGACTGACGTTACGGAGGGAGAAAAGATTTTGTCTTGTGGTAAAGAAGACAATATGCTTGAGAAAAGGGCACTTTTTTCTAGCCTAGATCTCTTCACTCCACCATTTGTGACCTCCCTGTTCTCCTTGTCGTTCACTTCTGGGTTTGCCAGAGGTCCATCTTTCCCGTTCGTGTGCGCGTGCAAGGACTTGAAGAGGATACTCTGTTCGGTGGACATGCGTTTGGACCTCGGTGCGGACTTTGGGTCTACGTTCTGCATCAGCTGTAAAGCCGGTGACATTTCTGGCTGGCTTCCCTTTTTCTTTCCCAAACCAAAGGTAAACACGTTGGGATCAAGCACCTTTTCTAAGTGGTCCTCATGAATAGGAGGCATGACAAAGTGAGGGGTAGGAGAGTTTGGCACCCTGGCTTTCTTCTTCTTCTGAGGCACACACACAGTGCTGTCCATCTTTTTGATAATTTCCGTGAATTTTTCCATATCAGAAGAAGAGTCAAGTACACTATCATCACTACCACCAGAGACATTCAAACGACTGGCAGGGCTGTCCTGGCCGTTCACAACACTTTGATCTGGCCTCTGAGGAGTTTCTAAATGGTTTCTGCCACCAGGGGAGTGCGTGAGGCTGGATTCAGCCACCAGGAGTGCTCTGTCGCCCTCACTCTGAGCCTGGATAGGCAGAGTTTTCTCTGATTCTAGCGGCAGGACTTGTGGGCCAGATTTTGCTGCATGTTCCTCTTTGCAATGAATGTGTTTGGGTGATGTGCTCTTATTGCCCAGTACTTCCTCTTTCTGGGGAGCACAACTTGCAACGGAAACCACTTCAAGTTCATTATTGTGACAACTTGGCAACTGCACTTCTCTCACTTCGGAGCTATCTGAGATGATCTGGGAGCTTACATCCTGGGTGCTCTCCACGGGAAGGACGAAGGACCTGACCTGGACCAGGACCTTGGATGGACTCTCAGTTCCCACAACTTCTGAGCTGTGCTCTGTGGACAAGGGAAGGCTGACTTCTCCTCCTCCTTCTCCTCCTCCTCCTCCTCCATCTCTTCTTCCTCCAAGTTTGGAGGGGGGCATTTTTTCATGGTCCAGATGAGACACAGGCAAGATACATCCACTGTGGTTTTCTGATACTTTTAGATCAGCGCACGGAAAACTGCTCACGGGAGCTTCAGCACACGCGTCTTTGGGCACATCCACAGGAATGGGTGCAGGCAGTGAATGAGGCTGATTAGATGACTCAGCTGGGGGCTGTGAGTCAGAAAAAGTATCCTGTGGTTTTGGTGTGGCTGTTGGTGAGTCTCTGGTATCAAGAATGGAGGGAATGTTTTGTGAAGTCTCAGTCCTATTTTCAAGTACAAGTCTTTTGCTGTCAGCAGCCTTTGAGTCGTCCTCTCCTAAGAGTTTGTGGTCCTTGACAGGAATCAGAGCAGTAGCCACTGGTTCAGAAGGGCAGCCAGCATCTACTTGATCACCATGCTTAAGCTGAGGACCAAGAGCTTGATCCTCGGTGGGCTCCCCTTCCATTCCTCTTCCTCCAGGACCCCCGGTTGCTGGGAGAATCTCCTCTTCAGAGAGAATAACTTTGGTTTCTGCAGAGGTTTCCTTCACCAGAACACCATTGTGGTGACTACCTGGCATTACTTTCTTTTCAGGTTGCTCCATTTCTTTGGGTTTTTTGGCTAAATTCAGCTTCGCCCTCCCGACAAATGTTTTATTAGAGGCAAGGGTGTTCCTTGTGCCTCGAATGTCAGCGTGTCTTGGGCTACTGTTTGCCCGTTTGTTTTCAAATAAGGAGATTTTGGTGGCAGTGTTTCCTTTATGAACTGGCTGGCTAAATGGACTATGCTCATTTCCCAAACTGTCAAGATTCTTAGGAGATTTAAGATTTAGTTCCACATTTTTAGGCTTGGCAGGGCTGCAAGAAAAAAGCAATATGATACAGTTACGACCTAGTTTTAAGAAGTGAACATATCAATGTATTATCCTATATAATAAAAGGCTAAAATGCAAACTGTCCCTTCAACTGGGAGTTTGACCAGGGGGCGGGGCCAGCTGGCCAACCACCCACGGCCCCTCCTGCCCCCCCCCTGCCCCCTCGCTGCCCCGATCGGCCTGATGGGGCGGGCCAGACCCCACCCATGCATGAATTCGTGCACTGGGCCTTTAGTAAAACTATAAAAAGCCAACATTTTTCTGGTATGTAACTTTAAAAAAAAATGAAACAGTTTTTAAACAATCCTAAATATGCTATCAATTATTTTTAATCAATGTTTTGCTTCAGTGTGAGGGGTAAGAGAATTATATAACTAAGAAAGAAAGTCTAGAGGTGGGAGGTTAGCAAGTTTATTGAGTACCTGGTATGTACATACAGTGCTTGGCACTAGAGTTATGACATCTTAGGGCCTCAAGAACATTAGAACAAATTTAAATATTTAATGCACTCCCATATTTTAAATACGTAAATGATTTCTTTAAACATCAACTGTGTAATTTTTATTTCATCATAATTTTTTATATTATCCTAAAAAACTAAGGTATAAAAAATATTTATCTATTATTTACCTCTTTGGATATTTTATTTCCACTATCCTTCCCCCCATACAATTTTTATCTGATTATATAAGTATGCACACCACAGAAAATTTGGAAAATATAAAATATCACTCATAATCCTACCATTCAGATATCTCTGTTAACATTTTAGAATATGTTCAGTCTTTTTATATGTAGTTAAATAGTCTTAATAGAATTAAGATTATTCTCTTCACAGAGTTTGGTATCTTGTTTTTAAAAATAATATTACTTAACTTTATATTTAACATTTTTAATGTTTCAAGTTACCAAAATTTTAATTTGAAAAGTTTTATGGGCGTCTGCTTAAGAGCCCGTCATATGGATATACTATAAGTATCTATCAATTAGTCAATTGTTGGTTTTGTCACCATTTCTTGAGCAAAGTGGGTCTCCCCACTCAGTCTCCTCTCTTGGGTGTAATTACCCCCCTAATGGAAATCATAAATCTTTGAATGTGCACACTTTTTTCTTTTTGTCCTTAGCTGGCTCTGATCCTGGCTCTTAGGCTAATTATCTATGTGTACTTGGTCAAGTTACTTTTACTCTCCGAACTCTACCTTCTCTATCTGTAAACAAAAACTAGATAGTTCAGAACAGAGTTGGTTTCCCCATCCCCCGACCCCTTCAAGGAGTTCTCTTCAAAGGGCTGCAGTTGGGAACAGTAGAGACTGAGGGATGGGGCTATTGGCCAGCCACCATCCTTTCAATCAGAATCACTCTACTTATCTGTTTTATATATCACTTTTATATAAGCTTTCCTAGAAGAATGGACTCCAAAGCTAAAAAACCAAACAAAACCAAAAATGTCTAAACTAGTGGTCTAGTGGTTTATAAAATGGAAGAGATAATGACCACCAACATTCGCTGATTGCCAAGCCCTGGAGAAACACTCTCTATGGCTTGCCTAAGGGACAATGTTATCCATTCTCCTTTAAGATGAGGAAGTTGAAGCTTAGAGAAGGCAAGTAATTTGCCTGAGGTCACACAGCTAGTAAGTGGCAGTGCCATGATTTGAAGCCGGTTGTTCTGGTTTCAGCTGCCATGCTCTCAACCAAGCTACTGTTCTGCTTCCCCAGAAAGGGTCGGACAAGACTCGCCTCAATGACCTCCTTAGGATCCAAGGAGTCAATGAGTTATCTCTGTAAGATAAAGTAACCACACTTTATGAGGCCACCACGATGAGAACACAAAGTGGAGAAGCACTGAAATCTCCCACTGTCTCCCCATTGGACTCACTGCTCTTCAAGAAGGTTGGTCCTGAGGAGCCTTTTGAAGGAACGGAAGATATGACTTTGGGTGAGACACCTTATCCTTGTGGATAAGATGAGAAGACTTGAGAAGTCTTTCCCAAATGCAGCATTAAGAATTTATGTTTTCATTTTTTAAAAATGTTATTTAAATACTAAATTTGATATATCCTCATTAATTTCTCCCCGGCTGCTTTCCCCCAAATCTCCATTAGATATTTAGGCTTCCACACTGTGGGCCCGTATCTTAAATTTAAAAGCATATTAACTTATCAGCACTTCCTTAAAGATAAATTCTAAAACGAGTAAGATGATTAGAAATAGAAAGTTTCCAATAGAAAGCTATCATGAGGGATGTTCATATACCAGGAAATACACATTTAAAAATTCTCACTAATCATCTTTAAGAACGGTCAAACATCAAAGTGTATCTTATGAATGTAAATGGAAAATGCTACAAGTTAGCCAACAAGCTACCTTAAGAACAGGAAACATCTGCACATTAAAGATTTACACCAAGATCAAAATACATTTTTACAACCAGACTTTCTGTGTTATTAACTTCTGCTACCAAGAGTCACTGCAATTAACCTAGCTCAAAGTGATTAAAAGACTCCTATAATTCATGTTGTAATGCCTTCATTACAGTGTGAGGAGAAAATAATGGAGTCTAAAAAGCTATGGTTACAATACAAGAGGAAAATTCTCCTTATTTTAACTACACCATTTTAAGAATCTCAACATTCAATACTTGGTAGAGAACAGAAGATCATTTTTCTCACAACTTCAAGAAACATACTGCTTCATAGTTATTTATTTATAATCCTCACCTGAGGATATTTTCCCACTGATTTTTAGAGAGAGTGGAGGGAAGGGGGAGAGACACACAGAGAGAAACATCGATGTGAAAGAGACACATCAATTGGTTGCCTCCCACATGAGCCCCAGCTAGTGAAGGGGGTCAAGCCTGCAACTGAGGTATGTGCCCTTAACTGGAATTGAACCCAGGACCCTTCAATCCGCTGGCCAACGCTCTATCCACTGAGCCAAACCAACTAGGGCCATAGTCATTATTTTGGAGGGAATGTAGTTTTAACTCTAAAACTTCAGATTCAAATTGTTGTTGTTTTCTAAATAATCTGAGTTGCCTGGCCAGTGCTGCTCAGTGGTTGAATGTAAACTTATGAACCAGGAGGTCACAGTCTGATTCCAGCCCAGGTTGCTGGCTCAGTCCCCAGTAGGGGGCGTGCAGGAGGCAGCTGATCAATGATTTCTCTCTTTTATGTTTCTATCTCTCCCTCTCCCTTCTTCTCTGAAATAATATATATGTATATATAAATATGTGTGTGTGTATACACATATATCCTATGTAATAAAGAGCTAATATGCTAATTACACCAAACAGCAGAATCACCTTCCAGGCAACCTTCTGATCAACCTTCCAGACAAAGCCAGGTCTGCAAGGGCCGGCCGAGGCAGCAGGGGCTGCGAGGGCCGAGCCCCTTGCATGAATTTCGTGCATTGGGCCTCTAGTGTATATATAAAATAAAATAATCTGAGTTAGCGTATTTTCTTGAAAGGCAATCAAGGGGAAGTTAAAGGGTTTGAAACACCCCATCAGTCACAGAGAAAAACTAGAAATCATTATTAATTTTCCATTTCAATAGTTTGCCAATTTACCAAGTTGAGGCCCTTGTGGAAAACAAAATTAAATAAACAGTGTCTGGCAAAGGAAAAATTTTAGGTAGAAAGTAGTTAGTATTGAGAAAAAGACACTTGTCCATTTCAGACAATAGCACTTGAAGAGTTTCATTGTAAGATCCGCTTGCCCGGTTTGTTTACCCTGCTCCTGAACAGTGTAACATTTCTGGTTCTTCCACTGGTGTATTCCCATTGGCAGACAGGGAAAGCTGAAGCGTCCTCACCAGGTACACTGCCACTTTTCTCTGAGGCTCACACTAGGAGGTCTGAATGTTGGCACACTGGCCTTCTACAAATAATGGGCATCATTCACTCAGGTTATTTCTCCACCGCTGCTGTTACAGAATAAATAGCTGACTATATCAAAGGTCTCCAGGTTCGAAGCTGGTGAGGTGGCTCAACTTATTCATTAAGCAGACTTTCCTTACCAAACAGACCTCCTACTCTAAAGCTTACTTATCCAAGAAGTCAAATAGAATGGTCTATTTTAGTTTAAGAATGACAATGTTGTGAAAATACCTCTTTTAAAACATGTGTGAATGCAGGAAAAATGTAAGCAGTTTAGATAAACACTCATTATTCACATGTGCTGACTGGGAGATGGAGGAGAGTGTGGGAAGGGGAAGATCTTAAAAGAGTTTTATATTACCCTCCCTATCCTGTCCACTCATACCACTTACATTATCATCAAGGCACAAGTCCTCCCAAAACACACACACACACACACACACACAACCAACACCAACAGTGATTTTCTCCTTTCTTTTGAACATCCCCAACTTTTACAGATGGTAACACCCATTGGCAGTTTAATCAGAAATCACTTCATATTGTTATTTGTCAGCATCTTGTGTTCCAGGCTGGGCCATAAATTTTTCAAGGGCAAAATACTGACTCATAGTTGTGGGTTCTCCTCCCCCCCCCCTCCCCCCCCGCCCCCATAGCTCATAGCACAATGCCATGCACAGAAGGTACTCAATAAATATTAGAAAAATCAATCAACTTAACAGCAAATAGTCGGTTGTTGAGCCTGATTCTTCTGTCTTTTCATTTAGCAAACAGTCTCCCAGTAAGACCACTGACCTTTCTTAAAAGTTTCTATGACTGCTATTAAACTCACTCATGTCAAAGCTCCTGGGACATACTGAACATATTAGTGTTTGCTCCATGTTTTGAAAATCACTGCATATGTTTTAAGAATGTTCTGTCCAAGAATACCAGCGCACATTTTGAATAAAGAATAAAATTCGCTTAGTCAAGCCATACAGTCTTCTATCACTTATGAGCCTCAAGAGACACCTCATTTTTACATTCATTTAATTAAAACTGGGATTAACCGCTGACCATACTCCCGAATGCGTCGTCTTAAACCTGAACTATGTGAAATAGCTCTTCACTACCTTAATTTCAACACAAGAGAAAATTCAGCGCACAGATGTTCTTCCACTAATACCGATCGGCCACCAGCACGTGCCTCTCCGCCCGGTCCAACTCCCCAGCCAGTTCCGCGGTTACTTACAGGGTCACTTTAGTGGTCACCGTCGACCTGCCCGCCCCGAAATGGTTCCTGGGCTTCAAGCCCTCGGCGTCAGGGCCTCCAGACGATCTGCCCAGCTCTTTGCTCCGACTTCCCTCTCCCCGGCCGTCGAAGTGGTTGGGGAGCGGCCCCCTCTTGTGCTCCGGCTTGATCTCCGGCAGCAGCGAGCTGCTCCGGACGGTGAGCTCGCGGGGGATGACTCGGGGCGCCTCCTCCCCGTTCTCCCCCGCGGCAGCCTTGGCAGCGGGGCTCGAGTCGGGAGCGGGCGCCCGCCTGGGCGGGGACTCCTTGGCGGGAGCCCGCGGGCTGCCAGCGGACGGAATGAGCACAGCTTCGGGGACGCGGATCTTCCCCCTCCTTTTGGTGGGGGACGTGGCCGGCAGAGGCTGCTTGCCCCTTTCCGGCTCCCCCCGGGGCTGCCCTTTGGAGCCAGGGCTGGACTTGGACTCCGAACTGGCCGCGCCCCCGTCCGGGGCCGCCCGGGGAGATTTCACTTTCTTTTCCGCGGAGATGTTCTCCGAGGCCGCGTTTGGCGCCACCTCGTAGTCGAACACCGCGTCGTCCCTGGCCGCGCCGTCCGGCAGCACCGTGTCTGGGCTCGGAGAGTCGGTGGATTTCTGCGACTTCCTCCGCCTCCCAGGCCTGCGGCCACTCGCCCTCTTATCCATGTCGTCCTGATCGTCCCAATCTTCTGTCCCCGGAGCGATGACGACCGGCTCGCCCACCTGCGCCCCCTCGGTCTTGCTCAAGTAGATGTCCAAAGTTAACACTTTAGCGGGATGGGCGCGCTCGCCCGGCCGGCACCCCTGTCCTCCGGCCCTGTTCTCCGCACCTTCGGCGGGAGGCTCACCTGGCGGAGCAGACGCGCCCTCCGGGGGCTGGCTGCACGCGTCTAGGCGCTCCAGGGAGCCTCCCTCGGCACCCACACGCGAGTCTCTGTCGGCGGCCCGCACCGCGGTGGGCGACCCTGGAACTCCCCCCGCACCCTGGGCCGCCTCCGGTGCGCCAGCAGCGCCAGGCAATGCGTCCTCCCCGGGACTGCGGACCAGCGTCTCTGCGTCCTCTCGCCTGGGAGAATTCTCTAGAGAGGAATGCAGCTGCTTGGCAGCGGCCGTGGCATCTGGGAAGGGCTCTCCCTCTGAGTGCACAGGTTCTAATTGAGGTGATTCATTTCTAGGGCACAGGAGCCCCGCCGCCGCTGCACGGCTGCTCGGGCAAGGCGACAGGTGGGCGTCCCGGGGGGCTCCCTGGACACAGGGCTCAGCGCGCTCGCCCTCAGGCTCCTGGGGCTGCTCCTGGGGGAAGCCCTCCCCGCACCTGTCGGCTGGCTTTGCTGGGCTGCTGGGGGACGCCCTCTTCTCATCCTCTCGCGCAGGGAGCTGGGAGGAGGTTGCGTCTTTGGGAGAGGCTGCTTTGGCTTGGGAGCTGGTGGGACTCTCTAACCCGTTTCTGGTGTTCCTTCTCCTTCCTGCGGCGAACAGATTGCCAAGTTTCCCCAACACTGGCTTCCTTTTGTTCTCTTCTGGTGGTTGTGCTCTGGACTGAAAAATAAAACAGAATGGGGGAGAGAAAAGATGAAAAGCTGTTTTCCCCCTTTTTAGTAGTAAGTACATTACAGAACTACAAGCCAAAGTGATCATAGACCAGACCTTCTAACTGAAAATGAGAGATGAGTTTTTATTACATTCTTCCCAATCAAAACTCTGATTTTACTTTTCAATTTTTTCTTTTTTAAATATATTTTTATTGATTTCAGAGAGGAAGGGAAAGGGGGAGAGAGATAGAAACATCAATGATGAGAGAGAATCATTGGTTGGCTGCCTGCTGCACGCCCCCCACTGGGGATGGAGCCCACAACCCCAGCATGTGCTCTTGACTGGAATCCAATGGGGGACCCTTCAGCCCGAGGCTCTATCCACTAAGCCAAACCGACTAAAGCTTAGATTTTTCTTGAATGCCATCTATGTTTGGTGCTACTTAGAATCTACTTTAACTATTCTTGTGTTTCACAGGAAAATTCTGAAGGCCCAAACAATCGCATACACAAAATAAAACATTCCCAGTCTCTCTAGCTTTTGCTTTTACCTCCTCCCTCAATAAAGATGCAATTTCAAAACAGCCATGCTTGACTAAAGGGCAGTATTAAAGACAAAAAGGTGTCTTAGACAGATTTTTAAAAAACACCTCCCTTCCTTTTTTTTTTTTTTTTTTTTTTTTTTTAGAAAGTAAGGAAGACGAGGAAAACAGTAATGCCATCTTCTAGTTTCGAACAGGTAAGAAGCCACCTGTGTTCGACATAATTGTTAAAAAAAAAAAAAAAAAAAAAGAATCACGCGCACACAAACACAAAACAAGGCGATTGGAGCACCTGAGCCCGCCCTTGTCCAAACCAGCAGTTCATGGTGGGCCGGGCCTGCGTTCTTCCAATGGGAATAACGCGGGCATTCAAACACCACTGACGCCCCAAGCAACAGGTCCAAAGACCTCGGGGTTCACCCGAGATGCTGTTCCCCGCGGGAAGTTCCCGGGGCGTCAATACGGAGACCACCCGGGGGAAGGAGAGCAAAGGTGGAGGACGACCGCCTTCGCATCCCCTCCGCTCGGGCCGGGCCTGGGCGGCGCGCTTGGACTGAAACGCGCAGCGCTCTGCCCGTGCAGACCTCAGCCGGGGCTGGTTCCCCACCACCCCAGTGGGCACCCGGCGCGCAAAGGGGTGAGCCCCAGAACCCGACCCATCCATAGGAGGAGGCCCACGCCGCCAGCGACGATCCGCACGGGTCCCGGGAAGAGGAAAAACCTGCCCCTCTTATAGAGTCTAGTAGAGAGCAAAATGGTCAGCACCTGGTGCTGCGCCGGAAGCCAGGAGAGCGCTCAGACCAGATCAATAAAAGCTAACCAACCAATAGGCGCCGCGGAGAGCCAGGGTTTGCCCAGCTCTGGGAACGGGTGGGTGAAGGGCCTGGGGAGAGGGCAGGAAGGGGAGGGAGAATGGGAACAAGAGCGGCGAGCCCAGCCTTTGGTCTTCGGTAACGACCTTCCTGAAGCCAAGGATACAGGTGTGGCTCCGATAACTTAAGAATTTCCTCTTCTACTTCAAACCAAGGAGCTAACTTAAGCCCCACCTTGCCTGGAAGGTGAACATTCAGGGACAGTTTTTACAATATTGACTGTTTACAGGGAGATTCCCGAATCACTCTTTCAAGCAAGCTCCGTTTCATTTGACTTATACTAGCATGCAGCCAGGGGAGTTTGGAAATGGTGGGAAATAAGAAAGACTGTAAGATAAAACATGAAATTAACACAGTCAACAAGCATTCATTGACCAGTCTTGGCACTGCAACGTCTTGAAATTCTTTGACAGCCTAGTGAGATGCTGTTAGTCCACAGTAGAAATAAGGAAAGGGAGGCTTGGTCAGGGAAGAGATGTAAGTGTGCGCCAGGAGTGTGTGTGTGTGTGTGGGGGGGGGGGGGGAGCAATACAGTCACTATTCAAATCCACCCCTACTCATTCCACTCCACCACAGGGACCCTTTCAGAGGATGTAGAGGCGCAGTGGGCACCTCTGAGAAAGATTGCAGGTATAGCTTGCAGGCCACAGACACCCAGAATCGGCTCCTGAGGAAGTGCTGGTGAATCAGATTTAGTGACAAACCCCATTCTTCAGGCTTGAGAAGCATCTGGTGGGAGCTTTGGAACTAAACGAATGCTGCAGGACAACATGGGCCAATGTAGCAGCCACTGGAACCTTTCGTGACTGAGAAGATATGTTTCTAAAAATCTAACCATGCCCGAGGGGCGTGGCTCGGTGGTTGAGCATCCACCTATGAACCAGGAGATCACCGTTGGATTCCAAGTCAGGACACATGTGTGGGTTGCTGGTTCCATCCCTAGTAGGGGGTGTGCAGAAGGCAGCGGGTCAATGATTCTCTCTCATCATTGATGTTTCTATCTCTTTCTCTCTCTCCCTTCCTCTCTCAAATCAATAAAAATATATTTTTTAAAAAACTAACCAGATTTTGATCAATTCTTCAATAGTTATATATATAATATAGGAAGGATTCACCATGTAATTAAAAATACATTAACATATTTCAACTTCCTAAAGAATATATTTGGATTCTACTTAAGTCAACGGTATTACATGATTTTTAAGTACTGTAATTTATGCCTACTGAGACCTCCTTATTCATTAAACACTTGCTAAGTGATTTATATAGATTCTCATCTAATCTTCCTAACAGCCCTTAAGGTAGGCAGTCATTGCCAAGGTTACTTATCCTTACTCAACCAGTTGTCTTTCTAACTCTGGAGATGGAGTTCTTTGTCCATGCTGCCTGGCAGGCTTCAAACATATGCTGAAGACGTAGCAAGGAAAAGTTTGAGTCTGCCAGTATTGGCTCAATTCTAGCCCATGTCAAAAGAAAACGCCTGTGTATGTGTTATTCTGTCCTGCTAATGATTTTGCAATCCATTTTCCCATGCAATTGAAAGACACCTAATCAGCAGTCTTCTCAGCTCAATACAGACTCTTCCCCACCCTCATTCCCACCCCTCCACCCCCGCTAACTTGGTTATAGCTGCTTTTTATAAAACCAGTTGCTCTTCAGAATTCAGCTCATCAACTACTTGAGTCCTCTCTTTATCACCTGCCAAGCTGTTCTAGCTATTGAACTTGCTAGAACTGCAGCCTTTTTTCTTTATGCATGAATGTTCACAGTAACTTCATTCATAAGAGTAAAAACTGGAAACAACGTATATGTCCATCAACTGGTAAATGGGTAAATTATGGTACATCCATACAACAGAATACTACTCAGCAATAAAAAGAATGGAACTTCTGAAACATGTAATGACATGGATAAATATAAAAAGCATTAAACTAAATAAAAGGAGCCAGACTCAAAGGTGGCATACTGTGTTGGGGAGCACACAAGACTTGGTTGGAAAGTTGTAAGGAGGACAATCTGAGAAAAGAGAAGTGTGTGGAAGGCAGCCTGCCCTCTTTATCAGAATTCTGACTTAGGGGAGACTTAGGGGAGTGTTGAAGGTGGTGCCCCTAATTATTCTTTAACCTTTCCAAACAAGCCTGTGCATGTGTAGACCCCCGGGTGTTTACTGGAATCCTTATGCTTAATCCCTGGATGCCCTTGCCTAGAGGACAATGTAAACACATGTGTCCTCCCAAGATTACTCACCCTACTGATTATACCTAAAGATAAAAATTCCAATAAAAGCCTAACGAGGCAGGCAATCGAGGCTGCTAGGACCCTTGAGCCAGGCAAGCCCCTTAGCCCTCTCCCCAACAGTGAAACTGTCGGAGTAATCTGTTTATCCGTAATTCAGGGGCTGCTGGTCAGCCTGGGCAATACGTATGGTTCCATTTATATGATGTTCTAGACAAAGCAAAACTATTCTATATCTATAATCATGGAAAGTAAAGCAGTGCTTGCCTGAGGGCAAGGTGGTGGGTACCGGTGTGACTGGAAAAAATCACAAGGAAATTTGGGGAGTGATGGTAATGTTCTAACTTGATTGTGGTGATGGTTACACACGTGCAACATATCTTTCCAAACTCATCAATCTATATACTTTAAATGGGTACAATTTATATATGTAAATTATATTTTAATAAACTTGATTTGAAAATAAAACTTTTCCCTGGTGAATAAAGAGCAAAAACACAATCCACCAAATGTGCACCCCTGGCTCAGGTGCATATTTCATAGTTCTTAGTCAATGACTCAAGTCATTTCCAAGGCTAGGGCCCTCATTCATAGGGGAGTGCAGTCTTCCCCCAAAGGGCTGGGTCCCTGTGACCCCTCAGCATCAAATCTCTATGCAGGATGCTCTGAGCAGTGTTCAGAGTATCCCATTCCTTCGGGGTAAAGTCCACAGTAATATTTTGAGGAACACCCTTCTTTTCACCCATGGATTATTTCTTTCCAGTGTCAATGAAGAAGAATGAGAGAATGAAAAACCCAGATGGCCTGGGAGTTGCCCAGAGAGTGGCAATAGGCCCCTCCTTAAGTTGGAGCCTTTGCACTTGGAGTCCTAAACCCAGGATGGGAGACCATGAACCCAACACCTTCTCCCTGAACCTTGACAATAATCTGTTAGGAAAGGGAGTGTTTTCCAAAGAGGCCATGAGGGCCTATCAGTCTTCTTTTTGCTCCCCCAGGTTCTCCTCTGGGGATGGGCAGGGTCCTGAGGGTTCTCAAACTATAGCAGAGCCAGGCAATGCCAAGACTTCCTCTGTAGTTAGCTTTTTACCATGTATGTACTTTCTGCCCACGTTCCCTAAGGCAGCCTGCCCACCTCACTCTGCAGAACCTCCTGCTACTCATGTCCTGCTAGGATGAGTGCAGTTCACCACAGCACTATTTTGAGAATGGCCCATGGGTGTGTGCTGAGATCTAGTTTAGTGTTCTTATTGGCTCCTATCAAATGTAGCTCATTAGGGGGCATGTGTAAGTGTCTATGACAAGATCATATTCCTGGTAGGGTGTAGAGGCCCAGGCACCACTGGCTGCAGCATTGTTCT